TCCCGCCGGGCTGGGGCTTGTATCTTACCCCCTTCACAAGGCGCTGGGTTCTTGCAGGTGTGGATGTGGTCTGGATGTTGTCCTGTGTCCTGTGGTCTCTATTTTAGGAAGATTTTTCTTTGTTATATTTTCATAGCTCTATGTGTTTTTGGGAGGAGATTTCCACTGCTCTACTCACGCCGCCATCTTGGCTCCCGCCCTCTATATTCCTTTTTTTTAAAAGCAAACAAAAATTCCAATATGAAGCATCAAATTACATACTCACTTTTTACCTTCAAGTATTGTTTATGGTTCACTGCTGAATGTTTTTGTAGACCTGGCATTTTAAAGTTAACTGCCTCCTCTTTATCTCTTCAAATTATGTGATTATTTTAGAAATAGGTAAAATGAGATTCTGTAATCTTATCCTGCAAATTGTATATGACAGCCTGAAAGAGTTGATATACTTTCACGATACTGATGTCATTCCTCTGTACTTTCTAAACTAACTACTCCGAAACTTCTGCTTTGAATATAATGATGCACAGAGTTTATTTTTTATATTATCAAGAAAAACATGATATACAAGATTTTGATTCAGTATACTGACTAGTATAATGTTGTTGGATTTTTTCCTTTTAGGTTTACTGGGAAATAAGTAGTGAGTTTGATATTACTGGAGACTTTCTTTCTACAAAAGGATTTTTCACCATTGCTGATGGAAAGAGTGAAGTGAGCTTTGATGTTCATTTGCTACCAGATGATGTACCTGAGATAGAGGAAGATTATGTGATTCAGCTTGTTTCTGTAGAGGGAGGAGCAGAACTGTATCCAGAAAAATGCATCACACGCTTCTCTGTTTCTGCGAATGATGACCCACATGGAGTGTTTGCAGTGTATTCAGATCATCAATCAGTACTTGTAGAGCAGAACCTTAGTAGATTCATCCAAATTAATGTAACTCGGCTCGCTGGAACATTTGGAGATGTGGCCGTTGGATTTCGCCTATCATCCGATCAAAGGGATCAGCCGACTGTTACTGAAAATGCAGAGAGGCAGCTGGTAGTCACAGATGGTGCCAAATACAAAGTGGATGTGGTGCCAGTAAAGAATCAGGTTTGTAGTGTTCCTTTAGCTTCCTCATCATTCCAGTACAACTCTTCCGGAGAGCCACTGCTTATCTAATGATCAGTTTAAAATCTTATCAGATTTAATTTAAATGTAAACATAAAAAATGCCATATTAATGCATAGTAATTATTAGATAATATATGTGCAGATTATAAATGAATTAAGTATATTCTTATTTGGAGACAAGCTATTTTTTTCTAAATAGTAGCAGACATTTATTTAGTACTTACAGATTTTCAGTAATTGTTCCAAGGGCTATGCATACACACACCCCCAGACATCCTGTGTGTGTGCACATGTGCATACACATGGACTGGATGCTTATGGAAAGGGACTAATTTGCAGGCTTCCTTGTGTTCCTACCAAAATGCAGTGCAATGAGAGAGACTGACCTGTGCTCCCTGTAGGTGAGAGGGACTGTGTGAACACAAGGGTTGGTACCTGCCTCTCTCCTTGGAAATCTGGAACACAGGAGATTGGTTTGCTTTTCTGTGATGGGAAGAAGGAAGGGGGGGCAGCAGACCGCTCTGCCAGCATTTAGGATGAGGATGGTAAGAATGTGTGGATTTCCTGGGGGTCACGTAGATATGCCAGAACTCTCTCTGTCTGAACCACAGAAAGTGATTTGAGTGACTCTTGTCTTAATCCTCCCAAGGATGGCATATAACTAGTATGATTCTATATGCACAGGAAAGAAATTTATTTCATACGTAAGATGCCTTTGGCACTGGGAATTAATTATCTCATGGTGAGAAAGACTGCCACAAAAGTAACCAGATTAGAGTCATTTTGAGAAAAATCTGCTGGGTGGACTGTGAAGCCAGGAGAGGACGGAAAGGCCATTGTCTCTATGGAGGAGTGGTGAAGAGTGGAGTTCTGGTCTTCAAGGAACACCCACATTGATGTAACTTGGGTGCCTGCCTGCCTGGAGGGGTGTGGCTAGCTGTTGTAGCCAAGAAAGGACTACAGAGCAAGGCAGAAGTTGTGTCATTGTGTCTTAAAGCAAGCTTCCCCCTGTCCGAAACTGGAAAGTGCCAGAAGCTTGATGGAAATGTCTCAGTGGGACTAGTAGAGTATTGACCCATCAGCCCCTGACCTCTTTCCCACCCAGATCCTGAGCTTCAGGTTGGGCAAGGACTGGGGTAAATGGGAGCTTAAAGTGGAGGTGAGCTAGGAGTTGTGATTGATGGTCTGGCCTTTACCTTCCTGAAAGTGACAGGAAGCTTCAAGCTCTACCCCATAACGTCAAAGGTTTGTGGAAAGAAACCCCGTGAATCTGTAGCAGGAGAAAAACAATGCTGCTTCCTGTTTGCAGGCCACTACGTTTAGCCCACTCCGTAATGGATCATCTTAATTTCATATAAGCTTATAATCTTTAGAAAATAGGCTGCCATTCAGAATAAGCAATAAGCATATTACACTAATTTGCACCTACTCTGGAACCTTTTGGTCTTTTGTGTACCGGCATCTACTTTTGTTTAGTGAAGGAGAAAATGGAGGACTCAGTGGGACGTGGGTTCCACACCCCTGTAGTCCTTTGGGAAACTGACTCAGTGCCATGCCTGTTGTATCAATTTCTAATCTCCATTTCCTATATTTGAAAATTTCAGGAGTGTAGTAAAGAGTGCAAAGCTGGGGAGAAGAGTGGTAGATTAAGTTAGCCAGTATATCATTGTATTAATTCTCCTTTATAAATCAGAAGAGTTTAAATTATATAACTGAAACAGTTTGCCATACATATACGTAGAATCACCTTCTGAACATACCCAAGTTACAAGGCACACCAGCAGATATTCTTTTAGCTTTTCTAGGAATAGCTTTGTATTATTTTATAGTAAGATTTCATTTGACAGTAAGACTTACCACAGTATCAATTCCATTATTCTATTTACTAATCAATGTGGGTAGTACAAAATTATTTTCAGACTATGTATGGAAGACCAGAATATATGACATATATTATATGGACTAAAACTGCTGATCCACCTGACTCTTAACCTTCTTTTGAAGTGCGTGGTACCTGAAACATTTTCAAAGATGGTAATCCTCTTCATTTCATTTTGAAAGCCTAATGGTAAAGTTCATTGAGATACTTAGCTTTCCTAGTATCTGTTTGAATTACCATCTATGAATTTCTTAACATCTTCTTTGAGCCTATTTTAATTTTTTGATTTCTATTTTCAGTAAGAGTAGCAAAAGTTTCCTAGTTTATGCATATGTGAAAGCTTCCTTCTATTTGCTTACTTTAACATTTTTTCATGAATATATTTAAAATCCCATGGATTCTCCTCTTTCTCACATTCCAGGGACTACACTTAGATCATTCAGTGCTGCTGTGTGAGGTAGACTTCTAAGGTAACTGGGGCAGGGTGTGACATGCACATAACCATGGGTAGGGTTTTTTTTCAGTGGTCCCCTTCTTCCCTTATACCCTGAATATAATGCATTGCTCTTTGAAGTTTGGGATGTAAGAAGAGTTACATAGAATTCTGTCTGCTCCACCCTCCTAGTAAAAGTTGGGACTTTGGACAGGTCTTCCATAGAGAAAAGGACCTTCCAGTGGATCTTTGATCAGGTAAATTTTCATTAGGCTCCGAAAACTGGAAGACTTGATGGTTTAACACCTGGACTGTGGAGTGAGTGTAAACTGTTACCTCACTTGGTTGACAGCAAGCTTCTTGCGTGGGCACACAAAGATGAGTCATTGGCACACTAAAGAAACAAGTCTAAGTGTGAAAGAATTGAAGTTAGACTGCAAGAATTTTATGTCTGTGGTTGCCATTTATTCAGCTATCGATGAGCACTTACTGTGTGTCAACTGCTGTGAGCAGCACAGAGCTACTAAGATGACAAGGACCCAGACCCTGTTGTCATATTGTCCCAGTCTGGGCTGGAGAAGGCCCATTAACAGCCTGTTGTAGTAACAGCCTGTTGTAAGTTGGATAAGCAATGTTTGAGATGTGCAGAGAATATTATGGGGCTGGAAGCTCTTTCTGTTCGTCCCTAAATGCCATCAAGAATGATGAGAAATATGTAGAATCTCGCAGTCCAAGGAAATGGAAGGGCATACTGGAGAATGTGATCAGCTTCTAAAAACCTTCAGGTTCCTTTTCAAATTAATCGACCTTCAAGTTACTTTTGAAACTAATCGACCTGCATGTCTTCTGCAGGTAAACTACCTTTTCCTCAAGTCTGTTTCTACTCATGTTCAATCAACTGTGATGTTTAATTACCGAATCCTGCATCTGCTGCATCACAGAAATCTGTGTGTGCCAGGGGCCTGCGATCTAGGGGTGGAATAAATGACTGGGTGCTTTAAGCTGACACCTGGCTCCTGCCTTCCTTCTTTAGGAAATGGGGTTAGAAAATCATCAGCTGCCCAGCCAGTGAACTGCATTACACCCTCAGAGGAGCAGTGGGAGCACATGATTGAAGTCAGGACACTGTGATTCCTTTTTATTGCTCTAGCATTTGATCTGTGATTCATGGTCACTGAATGTCATTTTGCAGAAACTATGATTGAATGAATGAAACATCTGTTACCCTCATGTAACACAGTATTTGAAACTACTGTGGTACATATTTTGCACATTTTGGGGGTTTGTGATGCACACATAAGTATATTTTATTTAAAAGGGTCAGATTCCACAGAAATGGTTATTTTCATGTTCAGTGAAGATGTACAGAGTTTTTAGTTTTCCAAGTTATGGGATAACTTGGGGGCCTATCCATATTGATAGCACTGTTCATATGGGAAAAAGTTTCAAAAAAAAAACCTTTTAGAATAACACCAGTTTTTAAATTCAGGATTGCCCCTATTGTGTTGCATTCTAAAACTTTGAAAAATGGTAATCGAATACATTTTGTTAGTAAATTTTTATGTAAAATATTAAGATAATCAGTACACCTAGATCATTATTCATTTTGAGTAAATCTGAGTTATTAGTTATTACTCAATTGAAGAGAAGGAAATTAAGTTTTGCTGGTTTTAGGAGCTGAGCCTATTCACCAGGGAGCATTTTTCATGCCTGTGGCACATGACTCTATTACTAATGCTACTTCTGTGATTCTCTTCATTACTGAGGCCGTTTGAGCGCACACGGAAAAGTTACACATCTATGTTTTTTATACTGTACAATCATCACTCTTCACCTCACAGTCTTCATACTGGTGATTTGCCTTACAACACGGGGGAAAGGGCTATGTTATTGAAGCCTGTACCAAAGGAACCGGAAGCAGTGCGCTAATGATTCATGCCAATGTCAGTATTTTTCTCCTTAAGTTATTTTTCATTGATGCTGTTTGTTCATAGGTCTTCCTGTCATTGGGCTCTAATTTCACCTTGCAGCTGGTAGCTGTGAAGCTTGTTGGTGGACGTCTCTATGGCATGCCAAAAATTCTCCAGGAAGCAAAATCCGCTCCCCTTCCTGTCCCTGAGAATGCGGCCAATTCCCAGGTAATCGGCCTTGGGTGTGATAGTGTCTGCGAACCACAAGAGGGCGGCTCGTGCAGGAGAGACTAAGATTCTTACTGCGATCCACTATTTCCGAAAATCTAAGTAATCCCATGAATATCAAGGCAGACTTTATGGATATGTTATATGAAATTAATTTATCATTTTTTGACATACAGTAGAAAAATATTTTCTTTTCAGTTTTAGAAAGTTTGTATCATGCAGAATTTTTAAGGTATTGAATTTTTAAAAGAACACTCAACGTTAAAATTTCCATGTTTTTTTCTTCATATTAGATATTTAATATTGAGGTATTTTATGCTAAACAATTAAAATTTGAATGAACCATCCATTAAAATTTTGACTTTTTCATTAAAGCATTCTGAATATTTGTCTTTAATTTTCGGGGCTCTTTTTACTGTGGGAAGTTTGTACTGCTGTGGATAAATGCTAGTGGGTGAGATCCTATGACATGGTTTCACCTAAGTATTTGAATCTTCCACCTGAGTTCATTGTAGGAAAGATCATTTCCTAATCAGTTCTTAAATTTACATGAGAACAAAGCACAACTTTTGAGGGCTTTACTCCCAGTGTAGGCTGAGTCTGTCAATGCAGGAATAAGACTAGGCTGTTGTCTCTGGCTGTGATGATGTGTATATATTTGAAATCACTGTATCTTTACTGCCGCCTCCTCCTCTTCCGGCTGGGAACTCCTCCCACCTGACTGAGGCAGGCCTGGCCTCAGATGCAGATGTAGAGTCTGCAGAAGAACGGGGAGGACTGTGGGCAACTCTGGCCAGCTGCTTGTGTAACAGGGTATCTGGCCATTACAGGGATGCCCTTCGGTTACTTCCTGCTGGGCTGCTGCTCCACAGGGAATGAATTTGCTTTGTCCCCTAAATGGACTCCACCAGCATTAAAAATAACCGAGAGGAATAGTTTTCTTTCTGTACATTCTCTGTTCAAGGAGAATGAGGGTATAGGATTTAATATTGCTCACAGGCTATTACAAAAAAAAATTTCTTTCAATCTGAATCAGTCATTTGGTGTAGTAAAATATTTCCTACTGCTTGTCCATGCACATTGTCACAATATTGTGTAACCTTGAAGGGCAAGATCGGGGCCAGTCACGGGTACTGGTGTATCCTCTGTGTCCCTTACCAGTACTTTTTTGTTGTTTTTGTTCCTCCAACAACTATTTACGGAGAATCTACAGTGTGTCCGTGTGTGTGTGTGTGTGTGAATGTGAGGTGGCTAAGACACTTTACCACAGCCTCCAGCCATGTAGCAAGCATGATGTCAGGTAGACCAAAGCTTTTGGCAATTGCTAAGCAGAAGCCTCACTGTAATAGGGCATCTGGGCTGGTGTCATGTTGAAGTTTCTTTTGTTTTTGTTTGTCTTTTCTGTGTCTCCAGAAGCTATCTTGTGACACCCTCTGTCACCTTTCTGCTACTCTCCATTCCAATTTAAAATGGGAGGATGAATCTTAATAGAACTGTTGATCATATGGTATCCCAAATTTAGAGATTTGGGGAACCAAAAGAGGTAAACTGAGTGGTTCAAATCACAGAGTGAAGCTAGGATGCTGGTTTTATTCCTTCTAATTGACCAGACCTTATTCATCTATAAAGCATCTGTAAATCCTAGGGTACCCTGGGAAGGTTAACCTTAAAACAAGATCTTACTTGATGTGAATGAAAGAGATGATTACTTAAAAATTCTTTGAAGGTTTCTGATCCTCAAAAAAAGATATTAAATTGAGTCAAAGCTGAAAATAACCTTAATAGAAAACTAGTTTATGATCTCATTTTATAAACAAAGAATTTATTATATCTTTATACAGAAGTTAAATTTCATTTCTGGACAAATCAAATTCTTTATAAAGACCCATGAACAAGTCATAAAAATGCCATTGTTAAATCTTTTGCTCTCATTAAACCATAATTATAGTTGTCATTTTGGAATAATGTTAAAAGATTGCATTTTGATAAAAACTATAAACTATAATTAGAATATAAAATAGAATAAATCTTCAAATCTCATATGTCATTTCATAAACTCTTTGTAATTGAAAATATTTTCAAATGGAAATATATTGTGTGAACAAAGAGAAAGTTGACTTTTAATGTACTCTTCAGAAAATAAGAACCTTTAGGGAAAAAAAAAACATTCTAAGCATGTTTTTCCTCAGGTTGGATTTGAATCTCCTGCCTTTCCACTCACGGACATTGCTGCTGGAACAAGCCACGTTGTGATTTCTAGGAAGGGCACGTATGGCTCACTCCTGGTTGCCTGGGCGGCTGGATACGCTCCTGGGTTAGGAATCCCTGAGTTCAGTGTTGTTGGCAACCTGACTCCAGAACTAGGTGAGTGGCAGCTTTTCTAGGATCTGCCCTAGGGGACGTGGAGATGTGTAATGGCCACTAACTTTCTTGGATCCCTTATACTGTGGACAGTGAGCTGTTTGTTTTCTCATGTGGTGCACCAGATTTCAACAGTCTGCTTGATGAGAATGAGAGATACTTTATTCAGTCAAATTAAAGACTTCATACCTCTCCTCATAACAGTGGTCACTAAGCAGACTGCTCTGTTGATACATTAGGAGTTTGTTAAAAAGAGTCTTAAAAACCCAGTTTGGCCTATGCAATAATAATAAAGGACACAACACAGCTATGTATCCATCAGCATGTTCACTTGAATGTTTCTGACAGTAGCACAACCGTACCTTTAAGTACTTTATTGTTTAATTATACCGTTAGTGCTCTGAGGGTCTGTGAGATGCAAATGGTAGATGGTTTGACATCTACTGTGTCGAGTAGACGGGGGTTGAAGGAAAGATTTGTGTTGTCCCGGAAACTTCCTCTTAAGTTTATTTGCCCGCCCATCCCCCCTTTTAAATATTTCACCTTTTGTAGACTGTCACAGAATTTTGAAAAATAATTTCACTACATTTTTAAGAGTTGAATCCCCATTTAAAAACTTGGAAATGATTCGTTGCTTCCCTTTTCATGTCCCCTTCAGGGAGCCTTTCCTTTTCCCACAGAGAGCAGAGCAAAGGAGTCTTGCTGCGGATGTCTCCCAGCCCTGGTCGGCCGGAGGCTTTTGTTATCCACCTCTCAGGAGTGCAGAGCAGTGCCCCCGGTGGGGCTCAGCTTCGGTGAGACCAGCTCAACCAAAAAAGTCTCTGAGGAGTAATCTGGAATTTATCAGTTGAAACAGAAAAAGACACAAGGATCACTTTCCTTGTAACAGATGCAAAAACAATTTTAGTGTCGAGCAACATATGGCCTGCATGCCAGAGATGCCGTGGAGGGAGGCTGACTTCAATAAAGTCACCACCCACTTTTTGTGTTGAAAAGCGTTCACTGCAACTTCTAACTCGAAACTCTTGCCCAGGGTAACCCCTCCAGTGAAGACAAAGTCACTGGTTATTAATAGGGGCTGTCTTCTGAGAAGCAACTGAGAAATACCTGATTTCCCCAGGGGACTAAGAGTAAGAATAGGCATTATAATAGGGTAATATATTTGCAGATAAATATATCCCAGCCAAAAACACCTTACTTTTCTCATACCTGGGATGGGCTTGATCAGAACAGCAGAGAACAGACCTTAGAGCTAGTGCTGGATTTAGTCCTTGCTCTGCCACTTACTTGCTGAGTGACTTTGGGAGCGCTACTCGATCTTTCTGTTCTTTAGTTTACTTATTTTTAAAATGGGGAAAATGTAGGGCAAAACCAGTGCATGCTTAAGTATGTTTATACATGTTTATGTGTGGGAAATACTGGTTGGCAAAACTGAATATAGCTTTTTATACATATGCCATTAAAAAAAATGTTTGGTGGCAGAATTCAAATGCCATTAACAACAATAATAGCTAGCAGTGTTATAGTGTTCACCATAGGCCAGGTATTGCTTTAAGGTGTGTGTGTGTGTATGTGTATGTACACATAGGAAAAAGTTGAGGATAAATCAATCATAGATACACACACACATATACACACACACTCCATAGGAGAAAGCTAAGGATAAATCAATCACAGATGTTTCTTGCAATTCATGTATATATAAAAATTTTAGCAACATTTGCATGAGAGAATAATTCCATTATTGGTCAGGTGGAACAGGCAAGGTATTTTTTTTTTGCATGCAGTAGGGACAGCTATGTATGTTTGTTAGATAAGAAATCTGGCTGCTATCCAGAGCATCCTAAGACTTTTTGGTTCCCTGTGTACTGACCATACGAGGGAGCCTAATGGTTCAGATCCTTCTGAGAGCTGCTCTAGGATGACTAGAAAAAAGGACCAGAGACCTATGAGCTCTTCACTTTTCTAAAATTTGTTAGGTCTCATCACTCGTGATTAAAGCTCCCATCCTTAACATTTCTTGTGCTCTGGTATATTCATCAATAAGTAAGTAGGGTCATGTGGAATTCAAAAGGACATGTTTTTCAGATGCATTCATGAGCAGCATCTCAAATATCTGAAAGGTGAATCTCTGCAGTGATGTTCCTATTTTTCATCAGTTCTTTCATGACTTATTTTCTAGGCCAGGTTTTACCATTGCTGAAATTGAACCAATGGGAGTCTTTCAGTTTTCTCCTGGTTCAAGAATGATCATAGTGTCAGAGGATACACAGATGATCAGATTACATGTACAAAGGCTGTTTGGGTTCCACGGCGATCTTGCTGCAGTTTCCTATCAGACCACCGCAGGAAGTGCCCAGCCACTGGAGGACTTTGAGCCTGTTCAGAATGGGGAACTGCTTTTTCAAAAATTCCAAGCTGAGGTTGACTTTGAAATAATCATTACTAATGACAAGCGTCCTGAAACAGAAGAAATTTTTTACATTAATCTAACTTCAGTAGAAATGAAAGGATTTCAGAAGTTTGATGCTGATTGGAGTCCACGCCTGAATCTAGATTTCAGTGTGGCAGTGATCCGAATATTGGATGATGACAACCTGGCAGGAACGGTTGCTTCTTTCCCCCACACAACTGTGGCTCTAGCAGCTGACACAGCTCTCATGCCTGTGGAAACTGACTCCTCCACCATGTATCCTGACAGAACTGAGGTAACTGCTGTTACACAGCCAACCGGAATGGTCATGAGTGTTGCTGAGGGAGCTGGTTTATCTACCGTCCCTGAGAAACTTGTCACCCTTCCTGGTATACCTGTCACGTCTGAGAAGCCTGATGTGGCCACTGTACCTGCAAACGTCCCCATTCATGGAACATTTAGTCTTGGGCCACCTGTTGTTTATGTTGACGAGGAGATGAGGAATGGCACGCCTAGCACTGTGGAAGTTCTCATCCGAAGAACTGATGGGTCTGCCGGTAATGTCAGTGTAACAGTTAAAACGTTTGGTGAAAAATCTGCTCAGAAGGAACCAGGTGCATTGCCCTTTCATGATATCTGTGGAATTTCCAACCTAACGTGGGCAATTGAAGAAGACGACTTTAAAGAGCAGACTCTTATCCTTACATTCTTGGATGGGGAAAGAGAACGTAAAGTACTCATTCAGATTTTGGATGATGATGAGCCTGAGGGACAGGAGTTCTTCTGTGTGTTTCTCACAGAGCCGCAAGGGGGAGCCCAGATTGTGAAGGGAAAGGACGACACTGGGTTTGCAGCTTTTGCCGTGATCATTATTACAGGTATGTCTTGGAGTGACGGAGATAAAAATGTGCTTCTGTAATATAGAATTTGTAAGAAGATCATTCTATCTAAAATTTTATTTAAGAGGGTGAATGTCTTGAATGACACATAGTAATTCATTAATACATTGGACTCACTCATGAACTCATAAGGTTGTTCTAGGTGGCAGGCTAGAATTTAATGGACTGTAAATGTCATGTAGCTCAGATCCAATTAATCTATAAATCTGTACTTTCACAATATAGGGAAAACCTTAAAAATACTTAAGTCCATGCTTTTCCTCTGGACAATACTTAATTTAATCATCTAAACACATGATTGCTTATCCTGTTTTGAAACCTCATTCTAACTACTTTCGGTAATCCCAAAATCATATCTCATTATCAGGAAATTATTTTCATCTGTTGGGAAATAGATGAAAGTTATTGCATTTTGTCCTACTTTTGAACCACTGCAGTTTACAGCTTTTGTGTTATTGGGAATATATATTGCAATAGCTTAAAAATGCAATGATTGAGTTCCTCAGGCACCTTGTAAAATCTTTTGGTGACAGTTTGTAGTCCTCCTCTGAAATCATACTGTACTTCTTAAAGTAGATTAGCTCAGCTTTTTAATATCTTACACCAGAGTATTGACAAAGCCATGTCGTAGTTCTTACCTTCTCTTTTATACAAACGTTTATGAGTTTTACACAGTGCTTGAGAGTTTCACATGCCACTATGATAAAACAGCCTTGTGGAAAGAAAGCTAAAATTCATTGAGTCTATATTTTTGACCCAGATCAGCCATTAATTAGGGGTGCCTTGATGAAATTATTTAACGTCTTTGCTTTTGTCTTTTATAAAAGAAACTTTTTAGTATAAGCATCTGTATGATCCACTCTTAGTATTAATTACTTCCTAGAATTTTCATTATATTTTAGCCATTCAGTGGTAATTCAGTCATAATTTTGTAATTGTGTAGTATCCTTTTATATCCATCATCATCCCATTTATGTTGGCCTACACATTTATACCAATCAGAATTTTCATTCATTCTTTTCATTCAATTCATTGAGTTATTGTAAACTAATTCTAGTCTCCAAATTATTTACCAATTTTGATTCATATTAGCTTAATGCCATCCACATTTTTCTATTAAAATTATTTTGACACTCAACAGCCTTTTCTCCATCCCATGACATAGATAATTTATTACAGCTATTTGAATGTGATCAGGGCTTATAGTAAAAATATTTAGCAGTAAGTTCAGCAGAGGCACAGACCATTGGAAATGATTGCCAAAGGCGCCTTGCTGCCCCAGTCATTACTCCATTACTTACTGGATCATGGGGCGATCTTATGGTCCTTATCAGAGTGGTGACAGGGGGTTCTTCAGGGTCTCAGGACAGCAGCTGCATACCACCTGGAATGGGTGTGCTGCTTGGCCAGTGTGGCACACCAGTGGCCTACCAGTCTGTCAGCCCTGAGCATAAATCTTCAAGCAAATGGTCACTCAGCTGTGCTCAGTGAGGTTCTCCCATGTTGAACCTTCCCTACATAAGGCATACTGATTATACACATATGGCAAATGATGACCTCCTCACCGTATCTGCCTCTTAACGTCCCGTGATATAAGTTACTCAAAAACATCTCCCGGGCATTAGCACAGTCATATGCCCTGAGTTCCCTTATTCTCTCTGCAAATGTTCTTCTCACCTGGGTTTTACTTTTAACAGTGTTTCTCTTTTAACTGTATTATTAAGTTTGCTGATTGCTCTTATCTTTAATTTCTGCAGTCTTTTCACATTTAGATATTAGAACAAATGTTCAAAGTACATTGGGAAATATAGTTTAGTTTTGTTTTTGATCATTGGCACATTAGAAGTCTTAATTCTTAGTAGAAATTTGACATTGAAATTTATTATTGTAGATGCGGCAAGGGAAGCATTATTTGTTCATGAGAACCATGCTAGTTGCTCTCATACTTGAAAAGTAAAATTCTGCTTGTGAGAGACTTATCTATTTGGAGAGAGCAAATTCCTGCTCAAAGTGACATGAAAACCACTGCTACTGAAGAAAAAAGCAGACATCAGGTTCTGGTGCAGGGCTAAAGAGTGAGCATAGTGATTAATTGCTGAGGATAAGAATTAGCAATCTGGGAGAGACAAAACAAACTTGAGACAACAGGACAGAAGTGGTTCATCACACGCATGTGTCCCTATCAGTGGGGCCCCACACATATTCACACTTCAGACCTGCAAAATAAGGCTGATGACTATTTGTTCTCCCCCATCAGGACAGTTCAGTGGTTTTCTGTTTTCTTATCTTGTCAGAAGTTCTGTGTCCCTGAAACCTTCGGAGTAGCATTTCAGGGAAATAGGTACAAATGGGTTTTAAGGCTGTTTGCTTTGGGGTCATTGCTTTTAGGATCACATTGCAAAACTGGACCTTCAAGAAAGAAAAAGCAGCAAGAACTGTTTACTTATTTCTGTAGTCCTGAGAATCAAGCTCACATGCTGACGAGGATTTGGAGTGACTCAGTGTATCTTGAGCCCTAGCCTGGTCCCTCTTTAAACACAATTTTGTAGTATGATGGTGCCTGTAACCCCAAGTGTTGCTCAGAGGAGTTTCTTTTGCTCAGAGGTACTTGGAAGTTCCTTAATGGTTCTTTTTTTCTCTGGGGCAAATAACTGAATACATGACCATTTATGTTATGGTCCTTTGGCCACCTCATTTAGAAGGTAAATCAGTTCAATGGTGTTCATTTTATTCAGTAATGTTTATTAAAAATTCACCATATGCTAGCAAATGTTCTGGTATTGAGGATACAGCAATAAATTCAATGAATGCTGCTCTGGTAGAACTTACATTCTATGAGGATATGCTGGCTTTAAACAGTAAACATACATAAAATGTCAAGGACTAGCAAATAGAGTCTCATCAGAGACAGATGAGTGTGCATGTCAGCATGGGAAGTAGAATTTGATGTTTTCTTTCTTCTTGTCATCATTTTGATCCTAGTCTGTATTTAATAAAGATCCTTGAAAATTGTAGCTTCCCCAACTCACTTGTGAATTTCTTACTTTCATACCGTCTGAGCTGGAAAGGTTAATGAAGCATTGAACCTTTAAAGTCTTAAGTATAATGTAACCCTTCCCTTTGTCTTCTCAGGGAGTGATCTTCAGAATGGCATCATAGGGTTCCGTGAGGAGTCCCAGCATGGGCTGGAGCTGGCTGAAGGAGCGGATACGAGCAGATGGCATTTAACTGTCACAAGGCAGCGAAACAGGTGTGTTTATATATATGCGGGAAATGTAACATCCTGTGTGTCTATATAGTACCTAATTTGAATTCATGAAATGGTAAAGGCAGGATGAAATATTGATAGACGGTAGTATTGGATTTGGTATGTTACTGCTCAGATGCTGTAGTTAATTATTTGTTTAACACACTTGGTTAATGAGCATAACTTGGGGCTACTTTGAACATTTTGTACTTCATAAAGGACCATATTATATCTGACATAATGTCAGATTGTGTAAGTCATCCCTTCAGATTCACTCTTCTCTGATCACTCTGCCTACAAAATCATTTCCTGTTAGGGAGACTTGGAGTACCAAAGTTTTTCTTGCAACCTAATATGATATAGTGCACATCCTCTGAATGCTCATCACATACATCCACTTTGTGTGCACACGTGTATGTGTGTATGTTACCTTTTTGGTTTTGGGCCTAAATAGTCTCCAAAAATATGGGTCATTGCTTGTCCTTTATTTTTATACTAATAACCATTTTTAGCAGTAGTGTTTCTCCCTTAGAAGATTTCTTGTTAAAAGACAGAGGAGGAACATTCACCTCAAGGTAGGGAGTCTCTGTTGTTGTTTATTTTCTTATTTCTGGTACGTAATAGGTATAGGTGGCAGAAGAACAACTATTTGTTTTCACATTCCTGATACATTAGTAGCAGCATTTCATTGGTGATGTAAGTGCTGTGATTTGGGTGAGAAAGTGTGCTTGGGCTCAGGTGCAGTGAAAGACACAGGGTAACACACTCCATGACTGCATTTGCATAGGTCTTGCTTTGTTCCAGGGCATTCGAAGATGTCCAGATTTTCTGGCGAGTCACATTTAACAAAACAGCTACAGAGCTTGAGAAGAATGGTGTGAGTCTGATGGATCAACTTCTCTCTGTGTCGGGAAGCACAACCTGTGCAGTGGGTCAGACAGAGTGCTTTATCACCATTGAGCTCAAACCAGGGAAGGTAAGAAATGATGAGGCACAGTCCTGTTAGATTCTAATTTTAGTTCTTTAGAATTAGTGATTTCAAAGCCACTTTATTGAAACTTGTGCATTGGTTATATGGAGACTCTTCATGTCTTGTCTAGCCATAATGTCAAAATGTCTTTGCTGGGGAACAGACTTTAGACTTAGAATTTATTACATTATAAATTTTTGTAAATATGCTCTTCAGTTGTACACCTAAAACTGATGCGATGTTATATGTCAGTTATATCTCAATAATGATTTTAAGAGAGCTAAACAGTTTTTTTCCATTTCTGTTGTCATTTCCAAGTTTCTTCCTGGTGCTCATTGTGTGAATGATCCCTTGAGTCATTTTCTGCCAGATTAATATCTCTGATTACTCTGAATGTTGTGTTTTGCTTTTATCATATCCACAGATTTGATTATCATATATCCATAGATTTCATCCATAGAATGAAAGCACTCTCATTCTCTATTAACATATAGTTAGCAAGTTCAGTTTTGATCTACTGAAGAGGCATAGAGGCTAGGCTTGGTGAGCCTTTGGATAAATTTCTATTTGTTCATGTTATACATGGCACCCAGCAGACAGATAATTCACCCTTCTTCCCAAAGGAATCTGCATTTTTCAAATGGCATTGGTTACTGAAGACATAAAAGAGCTTTAGTCATTTAGTAATTGTAGCTTTTTTTAAATTATTATTCCATGATACTTTAATGCTTAAGGAACACTCAGTGTTATTTGTTCAGTGTATTACTTAATGTAGTAAACTTAAATATTTAAATATTAATACAAAAACTAGCCATAATGTTATGAATGTTAAAAAAATGTCATGGCTTCTTTGTACATGTCAAACACTGTGAACAGCAGAAAAATCATGCACAATTGCAATTATTTCAAAACATGTATTTACACTCATCCTAAATCACAAACTGAGATTTTCTTTATTTATTTTTCACTTTCTGAGAAGTGCTGTAATAGTTATATTGATCTTTTCTAAGGTTACAGTGTTACATATTTTTAATACCTTCCTGGGTATAGCTCCAGGGGGAAGGGTGTTTGTTTCTGGCCCTGGGTGAGTTCCCTATGAATTTGGTGAAATGGAAGTAAGTCAAAGGAAAGGGCAGGTTGGGTGAAAGGCTTTTATTTCGTCAGCCACCAGACAGGCTCCCATCCACCTGTCCCCACCCGCAGCAGAGTGGGCTTTGCTGCCCCTCCCGCCCCTTCTGAGAGGAGCTCCATTGGCAGGTCCTTGGTGACTGGCAAACGCCAGTCCAGTTAGGAACCAGGGACACAGGGGAGGAGAATGGCTGTTTTCTCTCCCCTCCTTGCCCCATATCGACAAGAGGCTCTGAAATATTCATTGGTATGTAAATGGACTAAGGCCAAGTGGGAGATTCTGGAAATTTGGTGGGAGATTCTGGAAATTCTACTATTTACCTCACACTGGGACTGTGATAATTTGACTGGTTCCACAGAGAAAGAATACTTGTCTCAGTTTCCCTAAGCATACATGCCCTTGGTTATCATTACTTCGTTCTTTGTTGGGGCTGTGGGTCCTGGATCTTGTCCAAAGCTGTTTCAAACAAAAATTGCTCATCACCTGGTTGAGATCCACTTTATAGCTTCACTTGAAAGTTTTTTAAGTTCATGCCTTACAGGGTGATTTTCCACAGAATTATTTGTTCTTTAAATTTTTCAGTGTGAACTTACATTAGTCATTGCCCTCACTGAACATGGAGCTGCTCTATTAGAAGTATTAGAAATCTACGCCTGCCTTGTTAATATCTGATTATATTTGGTAGGGCAACTTAGGGGCTTCATCTCATTAGAGATGAGATAACAAATCTGTGTTCTTAGTGCATCTCTTTAGTCCTTCTGTCGCATTGGAACAAATACACAACTGCATAATCTTTCAAAAAATTGTGTGTGACTCCCAGTGCTCTTTGCGTCTGACTCGCTTTCATCTTCATTTGATGTGTTTTACAGGTTCTAATAACTGATTCCTATTCTTGGTACAATTCTTACTTTCTCTAGGTAATTGTCTTATACACAATTTTTTTACTAACCCCTCCCTACTTACATACAGAGAAAAGAATGCTTATCATTCCTTAGCAGATGAACACATGCTTAATAAAAGACATGAATGTCTTGATATGTTAGCACTCTCCTACACATATATATTAATAAATGTGTAAGTACACTAGTAGAGGCACACTTACTTTGCATTATAACTACTTTTTTATACAGTACAATAGCTTTTTCATTTAAGTACCATTATAGACTCAAATTCAACTGATTTTAATTACTTACTAAGTGATTTTCTTTTTGTGACTCAAATAGTCATGTCTGGGCCACTGAGGGTAAAAGCTGACCTTTTGTCTTTCATACTGCTTTAAAAATCTCTGGAAGCATATTTGCTATAGGACTTGATTTCTTGCTCCAGACAGTGTTAGAGATCTAAACCTAGGTGTTAAGAGAGATGCATGAAAGTCAGTGGTTGGCTGAGTGCTGCTGCTGTGGGCCATGATGGTAGTGATACAGCTAGGAAGTAAGTTTTCAAAAATACTGAATTCCTAGTGTTTTTTCCTCCCTAATTTAACAAATCATTTTAGTGTATTTTATTTTTCTTGAGTGGGAGTTTCATCATGTACTAATACTTTCTATCATACATAAAAGAAGGAACTGAAATTTCAATATTCAGAACATTTGGTCTTGTTACTCTACTTGAAAACATTTAAATCCTCTTCCTGCATTTGTGTAAGGAGTTTTATACTTGTGTAAGGAGTTCATTCAGCACAACCCCACATTTCCTAGCTCTCCTTTAAGGGCAAATCACAGTATCACTTCCTCCATGATGCCTCCCATGTCCTCTAAATTTACAAAGACTTTTTCTGCACCTTTCTTATGGAAGTTACTGATTACATTCAGGATCAAAACTAATATATATTTTATTTTGACTATTGGACTTCCATCTGCTGGAAAATTAGAACATGGTTTTATTTATATTGACATTCTTCCCATCATCTTCCATAAGCATGTGCTGCACACATGAGTTATTGAAAATTCTGTTGTGCATTTTATCTCAAGATTTCTGGTGAATTAGAATCTTGGACAGGTCTCATTAGTCTTAAGACAGCTATCTTATACAGTATATATTAACTTCAAAATTGTAAGAAAAGTCTCTTGAGATCAGAGTGAGTTCATTCCTGTATTGCTCTTTGGATATATGTGTTTATCAGTCTTTTTCTGACTTGGCTCTTGTAAAGTGAGACTTGTTTGTATTTAGAGATGAAATTAATTTTTACAGAGTGGAAATATCTTACTGGTGACAGCAGCCAGGTACAGTAGGTAAAAATGCTGAAAGATAAAGAATTGAGTTTCAATGAAATTTGATCTCTACCTGCAGGGGAAAGGGTGGTCATAGAGAAGCTGAGAGGAAAAGAAATAGGCCCATTGAATGAAGATGGGAGAAGAGACTATTCCTCTGAGCTTGCCCTTCTTGTAGGATAATGTTAAGGGAATTCCTAGATAATAAACATGGCACAGGTAAGGGATAAGAGAATGTACTAGGCAGTCCAGAGGATGCTAACTCTGTCTGTGCTTTTTCCTAACTCAGGAAATGCTACTGAGCCCATATCCAAGTCATGTCAGTTAGGCAAGAGAAAGAATTTGGTGTCACTTCTTACTTCTCTTTCTAATGTAATGTTTGAATAATAGAGTTGAGTTTTCTTCTGCATCCTCAGAAGCAGCTAATTTTCAAGGCATTTGCTCTCGTCATCTTCCCAGTGTAAAAAGGCAAAGTATAGGCAAGAGGAGTACACATTCCAGCCTCAGTAAGAGGAAACTTAAAAAGAGGGATGAAGATTATATTACTGGAAGAATGAAAAAAAATTGTTTTAAATACTGTGAGCTTCTAATACGCATTTTAGCATCTAACATTTTGTGACTAGAAGGAATGTTATTACTAATCCAGTTCCAATTCCTTCTATGTCTGATAAACTGCTACCTAGAGTTATGAATGAGACTGATCCTGCGGCCACGCTCTTCTCTAGTTGGCTTTGAGAGATTATTTGGAGGTCCCAGCAGAGCACACAGTTGTTCCTTGGCTTTTGATGTAAGAACTGTCTCTTTATTTTTTATCAGAGGAAGTGCTATAAGGATACTGGGCTTACTATGAGAGGTAAGATGGTGGTTAAGAGCTTGGACTCTGATGATAGAAGACCTGGGTTCAAATCTAAGCTCTTCTGCTAATTAGCTGGTCCAGCTAATTAGTCACTGGGTGCCACTGGTCATTTGCTCACCCTCCTGAGCCTCCCGTATTTCATGGGGTGGATAGATTAAATGAGACAGCAAATGAGAAGTTCTTTGCCCAGTTCTTGGCAAGGAGTTGGCCCTTCCTAAGAGATGGTTGGTATTACTGTTGTTCAGAATGGATGGGAATGGAGCCCAAGGCAGTTCAGCGACTGGAGTAGTAGCTACATCAGCCTTAGTGGTAGGGAAGTTACAACACATTCATCCATAGAATTACAGCACTGATTAATAATAGTGGTTTCTTCTAAACCTGGTCCAGTCTTACGAACCTCAAAGTTTTTCTACTTAATCATATATCTAATGATTATCTCTACAGTTATTTAATATTTTCATTTTCAACATATGAAGAATTTAATTTTCCCTAGTCAATTACTTGGCTAAGATTAGAACTCATATGTTGAAGTCTAGTCCATTTCCCTTTTCCCTGCGGCTTTAACTTATGGTTCCATATTAACAAAATAGATAAAGGTAATAGTTAACTTACGAAGCACATTCTTAACCCAGAAAATCTGCTTAAACTGCACAGATTGTTTAAATATTTCTTGAAAATGTTTAAAAAGTACTTGAGTAAGATACTGTTTCATCATTACTTTGATAGTCTGCTTCTGAGCAGATTTGGGGCCCATGAAAAATAATTTTATATTAGTTTGGCAGAAGATCATCCTGGAATGTTTGTGACCTCACTAGGAGTAGAACTTACTGGCAATTACATTGAGACCTTTAGTGAGGTCTCCAGTCATATTTAAATCTAGAGAGGTTCAGATGTGATCTGTGAGTTTTATTTTCCCAATACAATTCAGGCATGTTGTTTGAACAGAGTATTCAGTTGTAAGACTGAGGAGTCCCTTTGTCTCTAGTCTAATTCTGTGTTGGCACTCATCTATACATTGTTCAATTTTATATGGCTCCTTACTTAGATAATAACATATTCTTTCACTCTAAGTGGTTATAAGTAATGTTCTCATCATAATCACAATGAAAAGAAATATTTTACTGGAAAATACAAGATTCTGTTTTGGAATGTAATATGCCAGAATCCTTAGTTAAATTAAACTATTGTGAGTTCAAGCTCACTTGGCCATCAGGGAATAATAGCTCTTGAATGTAGTTACCCATGCTTTCCTAATGCTTTACTTTATTGTATTTGCCAAATTTAGTTTCTCAAAAGTGGGAAGAGTATAGTTATCTCCACATTTCAATATTTATTGACAGTGCATCAGCAAAAATATAGATATTTGCTATAGGAAAGCTAAACATATTTCTTCAGACAATAAAAGGGAATTAAGTTCATTTACTTTGTGGCTAAGACACTACTTATTCTTGGATAATACTAAAGAGTATATTGTATTGTTTTATGATGTAATGATTCTCATTAAAATGATCACAAAACAAATGAGAAGGCCCTTGCTGATAGATAAAAATGATATATCAAATTAGAGATTCAGTGATACATGCAGTTGAAAAATGCATTAACTTAGCTTCTTTGAGTCATGCCAGGAAGCTAACAATACTCAGAGTTTTAGGTTATTATGTAAGAGTGAGTAAGTAAAAACAGGTGACAGACAGTATGTTATAAAATTAAATTCAGGCTTTAGACAATAAATTATTTGAGCTTGTTGAGAAAGAATTGAAGTGAAACATAAGGGAACTATAGCCAGCGGACTGAACTTAGACTTATTGATACATAAAATTACAGAATTGACTGTTATCAATATTTGGTCATATTTATATATAAAACCCTTTAAATAAAACATTATAGGCAGCTTTCCCCTGTCCCCAGTGTCATTCTCCAACTCCACCTCCTGTCCTCTTCCCAGTCCAACTCCTCTACCCAAGCCAACTACTGTCATTGTGGTTTTTTGCTTTTAAATATTTAAATAAATATGTACCATTAACAAAATATAGTGACTTTATGTAATTTTAACTCTACATTTATTGCATCATGCTATACATATTATGCAACTTGATTTTTTCTCTCCTGATCATTTTTCTGATCCATCCATGTTGAAAAGTACTGAAAAATACATTTGTTTTAACTAATAATTAGCATTTCATTGGATGAATATATGTTATTTATCCTTTGGTAGGTTTATTGAGGTACACATAAGTTGTTTCTTGACATTGATTTTGTAATAAGAAGCTCAACTAGCAAGAGTAAAGTTATTTCTTAAAACACCAAAAAAAATCTCTTGGTAATCTAACATCAGAATTTAATTCTATAAATAAGAACAAAGCTGAACGTATCATGTTCCTGATTTCAAGCTATACTACAAATCTATAGTAATCAAAAATAGCATAGTACTGGCACAAAAATATACAAATAGATCAATGGTGAAAAAATTAACCCACTCTTATATGGTCAATTAACCTGTAACAATGGAGGCAAGAATATACAGTGAGGAAAAGACAGTCTCTTCAATAAATGGTGCTAGGAAAACTGGAAAGACACACTCAAAAAAATGAAATTGGACCATTTTCTCACACCTTACACAAAAGTCAACTCAAAATGGATTCAGGACCTAAATATAAGACCTAAAACCATAAGACTACTGAAAGAAAACAGACAGTAAGCTCTTGAAGGTCAGCATTAACAGTTTTTTTCTAGATATGTTTTCCTAGGCAAAGAAAACAAAAGCAAAAATAAACAAGTGGTACTACATCAAACTAAAAGATTCTGCAAAGTGATAGAAACCATCAACAAAATGAAAAGGGAACCTGCTGCATGGAAGAATATATTTGCAAATGCTATATTTTTATTTATTTATTTATTTATTTATTTATTTATTTAGATAATTATTTTTTATTGAAGGGTAGTTGACATACAGTATTACATTAGTTTCAGGTGTACAACACAGTGATTGAACATCTATATACATGATAATTCTAGGTACCAGCTATCACCATACCAAGTTGTCACAATATTTTGACTACATTCCTTATGCTATACATTACATCCTGGTTACTTACTTATTTTACAATTGGAAGTGTGTACTTATTTATTTTTGTGAGGGCATCTCTCCTTTTTTTTTTTTTTGATCAAATGGTTGTTAACAACAATAAAATTCTGTATAGGGGACTCAATGCTCAATGTATAATCATTAATCCACCCCAAGCCTAATTTTCGTCAGTCTCCAATCTTCTGAAGCATAACGAACAAGTTCTTACATGGAGAACAAATTCTTACATAGTGAATAAGTTACATGGTGAATAGTACAAGGGCAGTCCTCACAGAAACTTTCGGTTTTGATCATGCATTATGAACTATAAACAGTCAGTTCAAATATGAATATTCGTTTGATTTTTATACTTGATTTATATGTGGATCCCACATTTCTCCCTTTATTATTATTATTTTTAATAAAATGCTGAAGTGGTAGGTAGATGCAAGATAAAAGTAGAAAACATAGTTTAGTGCTGTAAGAGGGCAAATGTAGATGATCAGGTGTGTGCCTGTAGACTATGTGTTAATCCAAGCTAGACAAGGGCAATAAAACATCCACGGATGCAGAAGATTTCTCTCAAAGCAGGGGGGGTGAGGTTCTGAGCCTCACCTCTGTTGATCCCCAAATTCTCACCTGATGGCCCCCCTGCGACTGTGCCTGTCTTAGGTTGTTCCTCCCTTGAGGAATCTTACCCGTCTCTGGCTAACCAGTCATCTTCTGGGGCCATAAAGGGAAATGTAAAGTTGGTAAGTGAGAGAGAAGCCTTATTGTTTGAAAAGGTTAGTTTTTTACTTCTTTGCATATTTATGCCCTGTGGCTTCTGTGCCCAGCAGCAAATGCTATATCTTATAAGGGGTTAATATCCAAAATACATAAAGAACTCATACAACTCAACACCAAGAAAACCCACAAATAATCTGTTTGAAAAATGGGCAGAGCAGCTGAATAGACATTATTCCAAAGAAGACCTACAGATGGCCAACAGACACATGAAAGATCACCAATCATCATGGAAATTGAAATCAAAACCACAATGAGATATCACCCCACACTAGTCAAAATGGCTAGTATCAAAAAGAAAAGAATTAAGTGTTGGCAAGGATGTGGAGAAATGGGAACCCTCTTGCACTGTTGGTGGTAATGTAAATTGGTCTGTCCTCTATGAAAAACAGTACAGAGGTGTGGGTAAAATTGTAGTATTTCCAGAATCTCTTGTCAGGCCTTAGTGCTTCTCCATATCAATAGGTGTTTCCAAGGGGTGGAGAAGAGTAGCCCGTCTCCATATCAATAGGTGACTACAAGGGTGGGGGGAGCCAGGGTATAATTGGACTACTCTCAAGAGGTTTGGTGGGGTCCCTTTTTGTAGCCAGGTCATAAGAAACATGGGTGAGCAAAAGTGGATGACTACTTGTAAGCAATAAATGGGTTTCTTTATTTCTTCCTTTGACTGATTTAAGTTTCAAAGGTCATCTGTCTCAGGCTGGGAACATATTTTACCTCTGGCGTTATAAGAGAGTTCCTCAGAAAATTAAAAATAGAAATACTGTATGGCCTAGTAGTTCTACTTATGGGTATTTACCAGAAGAAAACAAAATCACTAACTCAGAAAGGTATATGACCCCTATGTTTATTATACCATTATTAACAGTAGCCAAGATATGGAAGCAACCTACGTGTCCATTGATAGATGAATGGATAATGAGGAGGTGGTACATACACACAATGGAATATTAATCAGCCATTAAAAAGGGCTAAGTGAAATAAGCCAATGGAGAAACATTAGTGATTTCACTTACATGTGAAATCTAAAAAAGCAAACAAAACAGAAATATGACTCAAATACAGAACAAATTGGTGGTTGCCATAGGGGAGGTAGGGTGGGGAGCAGGTGAAATGGTTGAAAGACATAAAGAGGTACAAACTTCCAATTATAAAATAAAGATGTTATGGTGATGAAAAGTACAGCCTAGAGAATATAGTCAATACTGTAATAACTGTGTGGTGACAGTGATAACTATACTTATTGTGGTGAGCATGTCATAGTGACAGCATTGTTGAATCACTGTGTTGTACACCTATATGTCAACTATACTTTGACTAAAATTTAATCTATAATTATTCATAATGTAAATATTCATATCTATAATTATGTATATGAAGAATGCTATTTTCTAATAGCAGAACTGTCTTGAAATAGAAATGTATTTGTAATCATCTTTTTTTCCTTTTTCTCATTGTCAGATTGCATCTCAAGTTAAAATACATTTTTATGTTGAACTGTATGAAGTAACTGCCGGAGCAGCAATAAACAATAGTGCCCGATTCGCACAGATCACATTCTTACACAGTGATGAACCTCAAAGCCTCGTGTATTTTTCTGTGGGTTCTCGGCTGCCAGTGGCTCATAAGAAAGCCACTTTAGTCACTCTGCAGGTGGCCCGGGATTCTGCAGTAGGACAAATGATATCTGTTAACTTCAGTACCCAGGTAGGCATGGAATATAGATTAACAAACATTAAGGTTTTATTCTTTACTTGGAGCATGTGTAATGAAACAATAATCGATACATTGTTTTCTGATGTCACCATCATAATTCATGTTATGTTTATTACATTAAGGTTTATCCTTGAAACAGTTTTTTCACTTATATCATTGTTTTACAATGACAGTCTTTTGTTTTTCTTTATTTTGGAAAAGTTGATGATTGTACAATGCAAAGTGTCTTACATAAATCTGTTGGTAAAATCTCTAGAGAGTTAAAATTTCTTCAGAATGTAGTTGTAGTAGACCAGAAACAAAAAGTAAGTGTCTTTGTATGACTTAGATGAAAATCTCCTTCTGCATAACTTCAAACACTACCTGACCTCCCTGTTCCTTTTAACCCATGAGTTTATGAGGTCCCTGCTCTTCACATCCTTTCTGGTAGGTGACATCAGAGGGAAGAGAGGGAGCAGGTGAGTATCCAGGGACTCAGAAGAATAATGCTTGTAAAGCTGTGACAGTATCCTGGGGGTTGATCCAAAGAGCACTATACAATCTTCCCAGCATTACTTTTTTAAACTTTATTTTAGCAGCAAGACTCTTAATATGTTACAAATGTGTGTATGCACTCTGCTTGAAGCACCGTTGTTGAGATGGGAACTTTCCTACCTTAACCCTCTCTTTGTTTTTCCCCTTAACTAGTACAATAAACCCAGTTTGTTATTCTGGACAGTTCTGCCATTTCCTCTGTTTCAAGATTCCAAACCTGGTCACTCTGTAGGTCTCAAGTTTTCAAAGTTGGTTTTTTTTTTTCAAAGTGCTCTTTAGCATGTGCTTGATTATGTCATCACTGGGTAACTCAACCATGTAGAACATTCTGTGCATGACATTGACATATGTCCAGCCAGTTTGCTGTGTAGCAGTCCCTGTGTCAGGGACAGGAGGTTAGGAGGAGAGCTGTTCTGGAAGCTTGCCAGGCAGAAAAGCCTTTTCTTTATGACAGAGTTCACATCTTGGCAAACAAGAAGAAAAAAACTCTATCCTGTGAGACTCTAGGAATAAATTCCAGTCTAAATAGCCTTGAAATATATGAACACACAAAAAAGTATTTTGATTCATAATGGGAGAGATTTAGTATTTTTAAATTTTGGCTATATAAGACAGGATGCAAAATGAGAAGAAATACGTGCTTTTTTCATCTTCTTCACCCATAAGACATCTATCGTCATAAGCTCACTACTTTGTAGAGTACAAGAAGGAGACTGGAAAACAACAGATGATAAAGGGATTTGAGGCACATTTCAGACTAGTTCATACACTCTGATGAGAGGGGAATTGAAGTTGCCAAAATAAGAATTTGAATGCCAGTTATCTCTATTATACTCATTTATATTTTTCTAGATTCTTCATAAATGATTCCTTGCACAACACATGCTCTCACTAGCATGTAACTCATAGCATTTTTATATCACTATAAATACAGTAAAAAAGATCCCTGTGTTGATGAGGTGTTCTTTACCTTTACTGTATCAATGTAAATATCCTGGTTGTGATATATTATAACTATGCTAGATGTTGCCAACAAGGGGAACTGGCTAAAGGATGCAGGAGGTGAGGTCACTCTTTGTTACTTCTTTTAACTGCATGTGAATCTACAATTATCTCAAAATGAAAGTTTAATTTAAAAGATTAGAAATAGGGACTCTCTTGTCCCCTCCTGGCGTGAGCTGGAAGCTCTGTCCTTTCACTTTATCTCTAAATAAAAGCCTCCTCCTTGCTCTCCTAAAAAAAAAAAAAAAAAAGATTAGAAATAAAGGTTTTACCTCTCTGATATTTTTTTTAACTCCTGTTGCTTCCCTGCCCCTGCATTTCCCTCTATGAATGCCAGACATATTACTAGCAGACAAAGACATGTAATTCTATTTTCCAGTAGTAGGCAAGGATGAGAAAATAATTATGAACCAAGTTGCTATTCTGCTATAATGATACCAATTTTCATTCTACTTTAAATAAATTTTAATAATGTAGTAGAAGCAGTAGCTCTAGTATGCATACCCTTTCAGGCCAGCATTTCCTTGTACATAAATACTATAGTCTTAGTATAATTTCCCTTATAACTATGTATTTGTAATATAAAGATTTGAGACAATGGAAATATCATTTATTCCAGTTGACTTTAAGTTAAATAGGCCTATAGCTAAGCCATTTGAAAACCATTCCTAAATACTTTGATTATGTGTGTATGTGTGTGTGCTAACCCGGAGCACACAAGCTCAGGAAAGAACATGCCTTTCCTGCATTCTCACATTGCTTGTTGTACTCAGAGGCTATTTCTGTATTTTTTTGTCATTGCTTTTAAATTGCATAGTGCTTCTTGTTTGTGTTATATGTATTTTATAAACACAACATTTTGAAAAGTTCCATTTCCTTTAAAAATCTGCATTGTGAAATTAATCCTACTGGAAAATAGTGGGTGGAATGTATAGATGCAGTTTATAGTAAGTAATAAACTCACCAACACCTTTCTTAAGAACTCCACCTTTACCGGGATCATAGAATGAGCTGCTGTGAACCCTTCCCCATGCTGGCCTGTTTCTTCCTGGCAGAATAACATCTTAAAGATAACCTCTTTCCTCAATTTCATGTTGAATTATTTTCTTGCTTTTATTTATAGCTTTACCACCTACCATATACACCTGTTTAGGAAATTATGCAAATGAGCTGCTTCCAGTTGTATTGCTTTATGGTATGCTGCTTTGGCTTAACAATATGTTTTTGACAAACACCATGTCAATGTGTATAGTTCTCTCTCTTATGCTCTTACATAGTATTTAGTCCAGTGGATTCTGTATCCATTCTGAAGTCAATAGATAATTGTGTTGTTTCCTTCAGCAGAACATTCTTCACTCATTGCACATTCCATGCGACTCAAAACAGTTTATCTTCATTGAATTTTCACATATTGACACAGTTGATCACTTCCTCCTGGAAGCATACCCTTTTTCTTTGGGCTTCTGGAACACCACCCTTTACTATTTTTAACACTTCACTTTGGTAGCACCTTCCTTTTGCCTGTGTTGGTCTTCTGACCAATTTAGATCGAGGTCCACCAAGACTCACTCTCTCTCTATACCATCCCAACCTGTTTTCTTTAAATGTTATCTATAAAATGAAAACTCCTGAGTATTTATCACTAAGCCTCTTCACCCCTGATCCAGACTCATATATCTGATTGCTCCTTTTTGATATCCTTATCTGAATATCTAAAAGGAATCTCAGGCTTAATATGTATTATAAATAACTCCATTTTTCCCTTAGTAGTATTTCCCCCAGTTTCCACCATTCATCCAGGCAAATAGCTCAGTGTTATCCTTATTCTCCCCCTAACTTTGAATTAACTAGGAGATCCTACTGCCTGTACAGTCAAAATGCATTCCCACTGTGAGTACTTCTTACACCCCTACTCCAAGCTACTGTTGTTTTTTGCATGAACTAGTGCAGAAAACTCTCTCTTCTCCCTGCTTCTATGCTCATTCCCAGCTGCAGCCTGTCTATGCAAAAGAGCCAAAATACTCATGGAAATATGAAATGAAATGTGTTGCTCTGCTGCTGGAATCCTCCAGTGTCTTCCTGCCACACTTTGTATAATGGATGTATATGATCTGACCTCTACCTACCTCTCCAATGTCAGCAGCTTGTACTCTCATCCTTCTTCCAATCTTACTACCCTTCTGGTTCTTCCTCTAATATTCTAAGGTGGTTCCCTTGGTAATCGTGTTCCCTGTACCTAGAATATTTCCCCCCAGGTCCTTATGTGGCCAGTTCCCTTACATCACTAAGGTCTCTGCTCAAATACCATATCAAGAGCTTCTGTGACCAGCGTGATTTTAAATAATACCCTGACCTCCACCCTGCATTCCCTCACCTAGTTTTATTTTTATTCAGAGAATTCATCTTCATGTGAAGTTTTATTATTCATTCTATAATTTTTGTCCTGTCTATGATTTCTGCTAGAATATGAATGTAGGTGTTCATTGTGCCACCTGGCAGTAATAGGAGTTCAGGATTTGTTGGCTCAGTAGTAAGTGTACATTTCTTTGGTTCTTCCTTGACTAAATCATAATGCTCCACTTTACAAATAACTTGTGATTACCACAATTTGAAGAAACTATGGTATATGCTCCAGACATTTATTCCTTTGAGTATTTTTATATCTAAGTATAAAAAAGAGATCAGTCTCTTCTTCTTCCTCCTTTCTCTCTTCTGCCTATTCTTTATTCCTCCAAACTCCATATCCCCCAAATTTCTTGGTGAGAACTAAAATGTAAATATTCCCTCTATTTCTCCATGCTTCCATTATGCAGCCTGTGTTATGTAAGCACAATTTTTAGCATGTTCACAATTGAAGGAATTCTGTGAGGCAATAGAGACATTTCTAATTTTCTTGTTTTATAGAAGTACAGTTGATCTACAAATTGTACTGGTTTCAGGTGTACAACAGTGATTCGACAGTTCTATACATTATGACAGGCTCACTATGATAAGTGTAGTTGCCATCTTTTGCCATACAAAGTTATTACAGTATTCTCTCTGGCTATATTCCACATGCTGTACTTTTTGTCTCTGTTACTTATTTATTTTATAATTGGAACTTTGTTCCTCTTTATCCCTGTTACCTATTTCACCCATCACCCCACCTCCCTCCTCTGTGGCAACCACCAGTTTCTTCTCTGTGTTCATGAGTCTCTTTCTGTTTTATTTGTAGATACCACATACAAGTAAAACCGTATGGTATTTGTCTTTGACAAATTTTGTTTTTAGGCCTCTGTCTTTTCTAATCACTGTATAATGTGTATTTATCTCACTAGTTTAAGAAAAAGTACAAAACCCCACATTTTGTAATACCCCAGGAGTAATGTTATGGCCCATCAGTTTATTTAGAAGAACTAGAATTTTAGAAATAAGAATTTGTTTAGGACAAGATCAGAGATGGTGTAGTTTCACAACTGTGGTGCTGTTTGATTCTAGGAGTTGAGGAGTGCCGAAAGAATTGGTCGTACTGTCGTATCTCCAGCTCTTTCTGGGAAGGATTTTGTGAGAACTGAAGGTACATTGGTCTTTGAACCTGGCCAGAGAAACACCTTATTGGATGTTATCCTAACGCCAGAGGCAGGATCTTTAAGTCCATTTCCTAAACGCTTCCAGATTATGCTTTTTGACCCAAAAGGTGGTGCCATGATTGATAAAGTGTATGGGACTGCCAACGTCACTCTCGTCTCCGACGCAGATTCGCAGGCCTTTTGGGGGCTTGCGGATCAGCTGCAGCAGCCCCTGGATGGGGACATTCTCAACAGAGTGCTCCACACCATCAGCACGAAAGTGGCCGTGGAGAACACGGAGGAACAGCTTGGTGCTGTGATGCACTTAATAGACAAGGTAAGGAGCCCTCACAAGTGTGAGCAGTTGGTTTAATTTCATAAATTAAAAAACTAAGAACCACGTAACAGTTATAATGTCAGTTAGCAATTATGAGAAAGGAAAATTTCTGAACTTAACAACAGAATTGATCACATCTGACACCGTACTTTTGCTTGGATGTGGCTGATGCCTGTTTGGAAGCTTTAATCTCAAACTTGATTCTCCAGAAGCTGGATGAATATCTTTTGATATTGCATCTCAGTCTTTTGGATGAGATGACATAGTTCTTCTGGCTTAAATGCTATTGAACATGGCCCTCCTTGGCCCTTGCTCCCCCAGGTCACTGAGAACTTTCACAGGAGAGAACTCAGGGATGACCAGGTGATATCAGGCATTCAAACTGGTGTGGACTTTGACCAAACAGGTTTTACTTTAAACCAATTTATTAATTTACACTTCTGCAAATGATGAAATTAAGTGGAGATAAATGGTCCTAAGGATATAAATGAAATGTACTTAAAAGAATTATTACTAAAGACACTAACTCTTGTGGGGGCTGTTGAGGGCTTGTTATGATAATTCTTATAAATATATACAAATATACAAAATTTGAAATGCATACATGTGTTTATAAAAACTCGTACGCAGTGATCTTTAAATACTTAAAATGTTTACAGTGGGGTTTTAGATTGTCATGCCTATTTTATTTCTTTTCATATCTCTTAAAATCCAATGTCTAAAGAGCAAAAAATTATAAAGTACACAGACAAGAAGAGGAGGCCTTGCCAAATAGCGGGTACAGCAAAGAGAAGTGCCTGCTGTTTTGTTCCGACAAAGTACTAGAGATGAGAATTTCCTCTGGGAAATATTCTAACTTAAAATTTCTAATGATGAAATGGCATAGGACCATAACGCGTTGGTTTTGGCCAAGAAAAGGTAGATAATGTATAGTAACTACATTTTAGAAAAGAGAAGCCCATGTCAGATGATCTAGAGAAGATATAAGGACATTATGCCACTATTTTACCCCTCATTGTGTTATAGAAAGAGCTACATTTTTTGGTAAAAGAGTGACCCTTATTTAATTACAGTTGTCAAGTAGTGTATCTTGATTGTTTTGTGCATGATAGATTGCATCTATCATGAATAATGAAACTGAATTATGAAAGAAGCTCCTATGGAAAAATGTAATTAACTTCTTTGAGTAACTATTAGCAAACAGTAAAATTTTTTCTCATATATTAATCTATATGAAATAAGTAACCTGGGGATTATTAGAGGAAGAAAATATTTCCTCAGTGTTACAAAATATTACAAATTCAAATGGACAATTATTTTGAGTTCTTTAAAGAATTATATTCCAAACGAAGCTGCCTTTGCTCTGATTATTTTCAAATCATGTTATTGTTACTAAAATTTTTTAATGTTATAGCATATTATCTTCTGTGATACTATATTTATATGTATATCAGTACTGAAATCTGGTGATTTGAATAACTGACTTATTATTCAGTAATTGTATGTTATATATATTACATATCATATGTATTACATGAAGAAAAGTAGAAAATTCTGAATATTATAAAATACTTAAATGAATAGAAATCTATATCTTGTTCAACAATAGGAAGACTCAATATCATAGAGACAACATTTTGTACATTAACCTATAAATGCAATGTAATCCCTACCAAAATATCATTAAGTTACTCTTGGATGTTTTTAACCTGGACAAAAGTAATACTGCAGTTCACCCATAAGAATACACATGTGAGAATGGGCAAGTGTTTTATGAAAAAGAAGAAAAATAATAGGGACCAACCAAATATGAAGATATATTATAAAGTTGCAGTGATTAAAACAGGGTGGCACAGGTGCAGTGCAGGCATGGGCATTCAGATCAGTGGAACAGAACAGAAAGTGCAGAAATAAATGCAAGCACATGTAAAATGATAAAGGTGACATTTCAGATCAATGGGTCAAAATTATTATCTGTAAATGCTGTTGATACAGCTGATTTAACCATTTGAAAGAAAAATAGAGCTGGATCCCTAGTCTAAATCTTACTCCCAGATAAATCTCAGACAGATTAGAGAGATTAGCTGTAAAACTGAAAACATTAAAATACTAGCAGAAAACATATATGAATCATTTTTAATATGTAAGTTTGAAATGGGGAAAGTCTTCAAAAAGCATATCCAAAGGTCATAAAGGAAATAATCCACAAACCCAACTACAAAAAGCTTACACAGAATTTCTCTTTGCATATACCACAAGCAAAATCAAAAGACAACTAATGCTTATATGTCAGTTATATCTCAGTAAAACTGGGGAGACAAGAAAAAAAGATAACTAATGGGTATGAGGAACATGTATAACTAGAATGTTACTTGTGACAATTGATAAAAATAATAGCCATTAAGAGGGGCCTGAGTATGTATCCATAAATGTAAAAAAAATCATATTTTAAACATTTCTAATGAGGATAAAAGACAGGAATGAAATTGGTACTGAAAATGTACATAATCACATACAGTCCAGTTGAAATTTTAACAAAATACAGGATGCCTAGTTAACTTTTAATTTCAGATAATCAATGAATACATTTTTTAGTGTAAGTATATCAATTTAAAAATATTTTATCTGCATGCACTATTTGGGACATACTTATATCAAAAAATTTTTGGTCACTTAACTGAAATTCAAATAGAGTCACCTATATTTTATCTGGCAAACATCTATATATCCTAAATGTACTTAAAATAATACTCTAAGATATCTTCAAATTCAGAACTAAAGAATAGAATTTTCAAGTACTAGATAGAACTTCATTCTATAAGGTCTTATGTTTTTAAGTGAAATTGCTTCCTATTTTATTTTCCCCCAGATTTTAACTTGTTTGAAACAGAATCTGCTCTATACTGTATATTTCTTTATAGGAGGAGCTCAGTAAATCTGAGGTACTATTATTAAACTCCCTAGAAATGTAACTATTTATGTTGAGAAGAAACAAATACTGTGCTAAAAAAAAGCAACAGCTTTAAATGACTCACTGTAAAGATTTTCAGGAGAAAATCCAGCTTTGGCTTTGGGCAAATTGTTGCTATGACATAATTATCTCTTGATTTTCCTAGACAGGGTGCAGTGAAAATTATTAAAATGCTGTCAGATGCCTTAATAATAGTATCATTCTTTTAAGATTGTTGGATTTGATACGCAAATTTTAAACTTCATTGGGTTTTGGTTTTCACGTCAGTGAAACCTGAGTCAAGACACATTGCCTCTACATTTGGGTATCGGCACACTTGAAAGAGCACAGGAATAATTTGTCCTGTGAAAATTTGATAGACTCCTCCTCCCCACCCCCGACAAAAGTCCCCATTTTTTTTTTCCCCTCCTGACAGCTTAAAAATATTTTTCCCCATGGTCAATTCAGATTTTCTACTTTCTCTTAAGCCAATTTTGATCTTTTTAGAGGTTCTTTTATTATTGTTTATGTAAATGGATTTTTAAAGCCAGAATATTTTTATCATATTTTTAATAGTATATATCCTTATATTTCAAAAATTAGTTTTTATATTTGATTTATTTTTGTAGTCATTCTAACAGATTTAGATGTAGTTCTATATTTTCTTGCCTGGTTTTATATTTCATGCTTGTAATAATTTTGACTGACTTGTCTGCAAACTCAGTCCATCTGTGCTGTTATTTTAGGATAAGAAAGTGGGAGGATGTTTGGAGTCAGGGCAGGGTGGCTGTCATTCACACCTGCGCTTGGCCATTGAGCATCTCCCTGCCCTTAGATGAATTAGGCATCTTCTTTCTGCCTCAGTTTCCTGCTCTGGAATACAAAACAAAATGACATTAGCTTCTCCCTCACAGGACTGTTGGTGCGAATTAGAGAAGTTAATGCCATGCTGAGAACAGCGCCCGTAACCAAGGGTTATAAATAAATAGCCTTTTTGTTTTATTTTTGTGTGTGTGTGCTTTACTAAAGAAACTTTCTAATGCCCTTGAATATGAATGAAATGTTGGGTGGCTTTAGAATTCTTGGATCACAACCTTTAATTCTTAAAACTTCATGCATTGCTCTGCTGGCTCCTGGCATCCCATTTACAAAAAAGGCTGATGTCAAACTGAATTTTTGTTTTTCTATGTTAGTAATTTTTTTCTAACTAGTTTCTGATAGGAATTGGTTTTTAACTTTTGAAATAATATTTTAAAAAATCACCCAGATATATCTGGTGGTGTTTCTTCCTAATTTTCTGGTAAAGCAAGTTTAGCATTTTTAGACAAGTATTTCTTTAGCTTATCAAGGAACTGTGTTTCCTTTTTCCACCAGCTCTTTTACATGCTTGATGTATCTTATGGATTCGTCCTGTGTGTTACATTTTCTCCGAGTTCTGGAGTCATTTCTTGTGCTTATTTACCTTTTAATGTATTGAACTTGAGTGAATAGCCAATGGGCTATTCTGTCTCCACTGTAATTGTTATTTGATTAAAATTTTATGATTTACCTTTTATCATCTTTTCCCTGTGGATTATTTCCCATTTACTTTGAGATGGCTACTCGTATAAACTTAGATCTTGAGTTCAGCTATCAGCTTGGCATATTTCTAAGCTATCAGCTTAGAAAGCATGGGGATCATAAGCCATTTCCTCAATGAGCTCAACTAGGAGGAGTAGCAGACAGATCATTGTGTTACCTTAAGTTCATTAATAAAGGTTTGTGCCATTTACAAAGAGAGTGATCATGTATGTTGGCAGGTGGGGCACAGTGTAGAACTCAGAAAAAGCGGTGACTAATTTGGATTTTGGAAAATTAATAGGGGCTTCTCAGATTAGTGGAATAACACGTCAGTGGGTTCAAACCCATGTTTATCCAGAAAATAAACATGTGGTCCTATTATTATGGTAAGAAAAAATATTGATGAATGTTGTTATTCCTCTAGCTCTCTTTGTCCCTCAAACAACACACAACCTAGACGTTTCAGATAGGAAGCCTCTTACTTACCAATTAAGGCAAGAGTGCCAGGAGTCCTTGGATAATTTTGGTTGGAAAAGGATTTTCTCATTTGATGTTTTAGAAATTTAGTGTTATGTGGTGTTTTGTGTGGCTTCTGTTCATTGAAAAACAGATACTCAAGAATAATCTTGCTTCTCTTATAGACAAATGTATTTATTTCCTTATTTGTTGGTCAAACTTGGGATAGATACAAAAGTGAGATTAATTTTGGCTTATGATTTTGTTAAATTGTTAAAGTTAAAATTAAGTGATTCTGGCAACCATTTTAGGATTTATCTAGTTATTAAATAGAAAATACTTTGGTGATTATTCCCTTTTTAAATAAATGATTATCTATGCTTTCTTTTAAAGGGCAAGTGTACTTGAAGTATAAGTTTGATGTCAGTTTCTCTCAAGTTCTTCATAGGTTCATCCTTATTTTGGTAATGTTAGTAACTTAATAAAGAACATGTTACACTATAGATGTCACTTAAGCATTTATTTTTGAAGATACGTTTTTATACTTGGGTTTTTTTTTCCAGATAACTGTTGAAGGAAAAAAACAAGCATTCAGCATTGAAAGCCGAAATCTTTTGTATGAAATTCTTTGTGCTCTTGTTAACCCAAAGCGCAAGGACACGAGGGGATTCAGTCACTTTACCGAAGTGACTGAGAATTTTGCCTTTTCTCTGCTGACTGACATTACCTGTGGCTCTCCTGGTGAAAAGTAAGTATCCTTTAATATCATAGAAGTACCTTACATGGATTCCTTCAGTTTATTATAAAGTCATATGGAATCAAATTGACATTTAGATGATGTAACTAAGGATTACACTGTCAATCCATTCTACCTAGTGGGCAAATGCAGTTAACTATTTGAAGAAAACATAGCAACTATATCAAGAAAAATTAATTTATACTGTCACCAATAAGTTGTTCTGATTTTGAAAGGTCTTTGAAAACTAAAAAGTTTTATTGGTTACTCTTACTTATAACGAGTAAAGGATACATTCTGAATAGAAAAAATAATGAAGGTGATTCCAACTTTTAGGCATGTTTTGATAGGCTGTTTTGATGTTTTAGACATGGTTCGTTGTGCTTCCCCTGGATTTGTGGATCAGTTTCATCCACTTGGAGGCATTTCTCTGAATGTTGTTGAACTTTAGACGAGTTGTTACATGACTGGAGTTTCATGGCAGAAAGCAAACAAGAAGAAAAGGGAAAAATAAAATAGAGCTCATGTTCATTATTAACTACTTACATTTGATGACTGCATATTAATATTCTTCAAAAGTCATGGTGTTTTAAATTACATTTCCTAAAGTAAATTAGATCATTGTAATCCAAAGACCTAAAAATGTTTCATTCCTATTTGATTTTATATAAAATGGCTGATAATAGAACACGGTTGGAAATTGAGATTTTTTCTTCCAGTTCTTTCAGAGTATTAATATATATTATTTAAAAAACAATGACTGCTATTAAATGGGATATGCCTGATTATAAGTGTTTATGTAAACCTCTATAAAGCTTATTATTATTGGTGAATTCCTTCATCAGTACTAAGTCACACTGAAATTCAGAGATATTTTGAAGACTGTATTTTAAAATCTGATATAACTTAAGTCATCTCTGTTTCTTGATGACTTTATGAACTCTGGCAAGTTAATTAAAATATTGTTTGGATATGTAAAACTTTTAAGTTTAGTTTGTAAATCACGAGACTCATGCAGTTCAAAGAGATAGTCTAGCTATGTAAGGGTAATGAGAGAGATCAAGGAAATGTAATAATAATTGTTACTAACTGTACCTCGCTGTAGTCCTCACACTGTTATTAGGTTGAATCATTTCATTTGCCCTTTTTTTGTAGGTAAAAACAGTATGATATTTTGGAAAACTCATATGGTTCAACCTAATCCTTACTAAAAGTTCTACATATTTTATCCTTGTGAAAAATCATTTCAACCTAGCTGTTCAAGGGTAGGGTTAGGGCTTTTATTATTCCTCTTCACAGATGTAGAAACTGAGATTCGCACAGCTTGCCAGGGGTCCCATGATTGATTAGTCCAGGTGAGGCCTCCATCCGGGCCTGCTCGACTCCACAGCCTCTGCAGACCACCATGCCCTCGGTCAGAAGATGTTGGAAGAACCACTTGCTTTGTAACGAAGTCTCCACTCCCAGCCCCGTAGCTGCAAAGTATCCCTGCCTTTCATCCCAGGTCTGTGCCAGGGTGTGACTCGAGGTTAAGGAGCAGAACCAGCATCCCCTTACTGTACTCTTCTTTTAACCCTGATGAGTGAGTCCGAGGGACTGAGGTTTCCTTAACAAGGAGCATCAGCAAAGCATCTGAAAAGCTCTGCCTGCCCTGTCAGGAGGTCCCCCTCCAGGCCTCACCGCTGCTCCTAAGTGTTCATCTGAACCCAGTGAATAAGCTCCTCAGTGCCTCGCACAATGTCTCTAATGTTCTCAGAAACTTCTGAGATGCATCATTTCTTCAAGTTTGCACTGGAGGCCATAGTCTGTGTGTGTGTGTGTGTGTGTGTGTGTGTGTATGTGTATAGTTAAGAAATATTCTGTATTGTTTTTCCCTCTTGGATTGTATTCAACTATGCTGGCCAATGAAGTCAAATCATTCATAGCTTTGCATTCTTCATAGTTCTGGTTCTTCCTATCTGTTTTTCCATATTTTTGCAAGATCACTAGGATATCAAGATTTTCTCAGGTGTGAACCATCTACCCTACTGAGAATGCTGGTTCCCATCTCTGGGCCCTGAAAGGCCTAGTGAGAACTCAAGAAAGTATAAGATACCCAAAATGTGTTGTCTGTCTTTTTACCTAATATATTTGTAGGACCTAGATCAGTATCTGATACGTGATAGATTCTCAATAGTTATGGTATAATGATGGAACAGAATGAATAAATGAATCAGTGTGTTTTCTGCCATGTACGTCCTCTCCATAGACTTACCTTTACTTCTTAGTTATCCAGGAAGAAGAAACAGCATTGTACAGCATGTGCAGTGACAGTCATGCAAGAATAACATGGTGCACTTGGGGAGATCAGTTGGCAAGATTGTTGGCCTTTAAAGTCTGAACATAGAATAAGCTATGTAGGGTGTGTGTGTGTGTGTGTGTGTGTGTGTGAGAAAGTGTCAAACTTAGGATTTTAGAGGCATCATGTTGATGAAAGTGTTAAGGATTAAAGAATAGGGTAAATCAAGAAACAACGCTGCACAGGGGATAATTGTTTGGGTAAGAGAAGATGAGGGCTGAAATTGAGGCAGGGATGGTGGTACCTTGAAAATAATTAGGTGGTAGAATTAACATGGGTGATAGATTGAACATAGAAAGTAAGAGAGATCAAGACTAGTTTTTTTACACCATTCTGAAAATACATTATTCATACATTGTCTTAAGCAGTACTCATGGGCATCTACTGAGAGGGAAGGGTTTGAGAATTGAGCAGGGATAACTGAGCACGAGAATAATGGAGTCTAGAAGAGTCACTGGGAAGCCAGGTGAAAACAATGTCAAGTGATATTGGGCTGGCTGAGGTTGGTCCTGGCGGATGGATTTGTGGTGGTGCCTATCTACACGCGAATGTTTCACCTCCAACCTTACCCGGGTGTAAAGCAGACTGTGGGATTGGTCAGAGTGAGCGCAGTGGAAGGGCATGGATATAGGACATTAAAGTGACAGGAAGAGGATAGCCATCAGCAGGTAAGTGAGGCAGGGAATTTGGCATACTTGTGTCAAGGCTGGGTGGAGTCACTGTGCATGTTATGCAGGTCTCAGTCTGCCAAGGTCATGGGGGTTCATGATGGCACCAAAGGGCTGGCTTAATCTCAGTAGATTCTAGGGAGGATGGATAAGGGGTGTGTAGCCATGTGGCTGAGGTTCACTGGCCTCAGTCACACTGCACCTGGTTGTGGGTGAGGGGAGACTACTGTGACAGCTTTTAGCTGAAAGTGAAGGTGTGGGAGGCTGGGTGGAGAGATTAAGAGATGAGGTTCTGGTGAGCTGTTTGGGAGGTCCAGGTGTCTCATACGGCTTGGACTCAGAGGTTTAGAGCCTGGGTGAATCACTGGATTAGAGAGAGGTATTTGAAGGCACCAGTTCAAATATGGTTAAAGTTATAGAGGTGATTTTTTTTTTGAGAGAGAGAGAGAGAGAGTATAGCTAGAGGGAAAAGTTAATTCTTATCCTGTTCTTTTCTTTCTCAAATCTTCCTTTTAAAATCCTCAGTGCCATTTCCCAGGTTAGGGGTCTTGACAGGCTTATCATTTAGATCCATGATATAATATTATACTCTGTTGTGACCTATGAAAGTTTTAATATTTGATGCCTAATTTTTATCCTATTATTCTCCAAACATTTTCAGGCAGGCTTCAGATCTAATTCATCTTTGTATCTCCTCACTGTTTGCAAGCACAATGAATCCACACACAAGACTGTCACATTCTTTAGCAAACTGGTTAAAAAAAAATAGAGATTTATAGAACCCCTAGCCTCCTCCTCAGGCAAAAATTTTGATTTATTAAGTCTGCGGTGTTATCTAGAAATCTATATTTTAAAACAAGCTTCCAAGTGATTTCAACACACACTGAGGTTTGGAAGCAATTACACTGAGCACAGGACCTTATGCCTAGGAGATACTCAAAACCAGAATTGTTAAATGGATAAAGATCACTGTTTAGGGATGTTTCTCTTAACCAGTTACATGGTTAAATTCTAAATGCTCTGAAAGGTTCAAAAGGGGTGAAGTAAACTCTTGATGAATACATGGTTCTGGATCTATCAGGTTTATGGTAAATTCTCAGATAAAGACGAGGGTTTCTCTTTATTGGTGTGCCCTTTCCTCAGCCTGTTCCATCAGTGCTGATACTACTGACACAGAAAAGTATATTTTATAGCCACTGATTACATCTAACATCAGTGAAACAACTTTCAGAAGTCCACATGTTTCAGGTGACAAGTGGGCTTGGGTAGAGGATGCAAAAATTGTGCAAAGAATCGTGGCAGTTAACCACAAAATAACTGGAAGCACATTATCCTTCCTGCCTCTGGTTTGGTAGTGTCACGGTTGGACATAAAGGACAGAGCTGCAGTGTAATGCCTTTAGTAAATAGAGATGGATATGTGTGTGCACATGCATTCCATTTTAGCAGAGCCTGTGCTTTTTGTCACAGAAGCAAGACCATCCTTGACAGTTGCCCGTATTTGTCCATTCTGGCTCTTCGCTGGTATCCGCAGCAAATCAATGGCCACAAGTTTGAAGGTAAAGAAGGCGATTATATTCGAATTCCAGAGAGGTTATTGGATGTTCCAGATGCAGAAATAACAGCTGAGAAAAGTGCATGTGAATTAGTCCAGTTCACAGAGTATAGCAGCCAGCAGTGGTTTTTAACCGGAAACAGTCTTCATGCCCTGAAAAATAAGGTAATCTTTCATTTGAAGAATTATGTTTGGAATCTGATTTTTCCTCAGCAGACACACTTCTCAAAATGCATTCGCTTGCTCAGATCTGTGGTAAATGCTACACATGGTGAGCTAACTGTGAAACGTCCCATCTTTTTGAACTATTTTTAGAATGTTTAGTCTCAAAACTACATTTCCTTTCTGTTCTATTGAGTATAATGTGTCAAATTGGGAAAAGTACAAAATAGAGCTTTAATTTATACCATACTATTATGTACCCCTCTCTTGGTGAAGTCAGACATTTATAAAATGAGTGTTGTCCCATGACGACTGTTTAGTAACTGACGTAGAGGTAGAATGTTTGCAATGAAAAATCAGATTCTCCACATTCGTAACTAAGCTAACTAAATCCTGGCAGTAACTAAAGCAAGTAACTAAAGTGACGAGAAAAATGAATCAAAATTCAGAATGGGAGATTCAGTCACAACATGATGTTGACAATATCACTAAATTTTCTGTTCTTTTTGGCATTACAGGTATTATCTTTCAGTGTGGAGGGTCAGAGTTCACCATCCCTGACTGACAACAATGAGGTTCTGTACAGGATTTATGCTGCCAAGCCTAGAATTGTTCCCCAGACGTCTTTGTGTCTCCTTTGGAATCAGGCTGCTGCAAGGTGCTTACTAATAATTCTTTAAAATCAGGATTTGGTTCTTCCTTACTGTAGGACCACTGAAAGCCCAGTGTTTTTGTACTGAGCATAGATGGCTGCCTCAGGTGAGACTTTAGATGGAGAATAACCTCTATAATAAGTAAGACAAAACTGCATAGGAAATGGTCTAGCATTGTAGGTGGCAGATGCAACCTGATGATTTAAGTTTCTAACACATTCATCTTTCTTTATTATTACTGTTTTCATGGAATTAAGCATGACTTCTACTCAATTAGATAACTTTCCTATGGTTAGTGTTTAATTTACTGGGCAGTAAGGGAAATTATTTTCCTTTTCCATCTGGGCTTGTGGCTTGGGATCTGATGCTCAATGAGGGATTAGCAGGGATTTATAGTTCTAGTCCACATATGGCTTGGAGTACATTCTAGGATTAAAGCAATGTACGGGAATGGGGAAAAGAGAACAGTTCTTTGAATCTCTGTGGACTAAGGCCTCAAGTTCCTTAGTAGCTCTGTCACTTGGAGCTTAGTCTGTGCTTTAGGGTCAGGCATTGCTGGCCCAGCAGGTCTAGGGTCCAAATCAGTCGCTAGATCTGTTTATTACTGACTTACACCTGCACAAACTAAAATTCTAAATTGATTTAATGATTTAGTTGGATAACCATCTGTCCTTCAAACAACAAAATCCTGGTTATTCTCTTTCTTTTTTTGCGAAAAAAAAATTTTTCAGTTGAAATTCTAAATCTGATGACAGATCATAAACCTAATATATAGATGCTCTGTAATCCTCAATATATAATTTGTAATGACTGTTTCAAGCTTGACTCTGTAGTTGGGATTAAGAAGTTTTACGTCCTTAGAAAGGTAAGGGAATCAAGAGGCACTAAAAGGGAAGAGGCTCAAGCAGCTGTCTCTCGGGAACAAGCAGAAGGCTCTGCACGTGATGCTCTATTTGCTATAATTGTGACAAAATATTTGTGTTGAAAGCCAGACTTACAGAAGGAAACACTTTATAAAGAACCCTGAGGAACATTTACATAATATAAGTGGCTCCAAAACTCAAAAGAAGATGAGGTTCAGTAACTTATTATTATTTTTTAAAGCTATCTCAGTACCTTAAGTATTGATGAAAGAAGAGTACCGACGACTGTTTTTTTGCCCTAGCTGGTTGTCTGACAGTCAGTTTTGCAAAGTGGTTGTGGACACTTCAGACTACGTGGAATGTACCTGTTCATACATGTCCGTGTATGCTGTCTATGCCCAGACTGACAACTTGTCTTCATACAATGAAGCCTTTTTCTCTTCTGGATTTATATGTATCTCAGGTCAGTTGCAGCATTTTTGAATCAACAACTTTAAATATTGATAAGAATGAAAATCTGTTTTCCTATAGTCTTTTTATATATGCAAGGTGCAAACATACTGTAATTCATCAGCCCTAGGAGAAAATTAACTTTCCCATTGTCTTATTAATTCATACAATAACTATTTACAGTGGCCAACTTACTGAGGATAGAGGAGAGAACAAGACATGGTTCCAACTTGGAATATAAAATACAATGCGGGATAGAAGGGAGATGATCGAATTCGGGTTAGGGTTAGGCCTAGGAAAGAATATAATTCATAGTGTGGTAATTTGGAGGGCAGGTTCCACAGTAGAATGTCAGGGTTTTGTGAGAGAATATACACAAAGCATTTTGTACTTTCATTAAAAAAAAAAACAAACCTACCCCGCTGATTTGTATTCTGCAACCTAGGAGCCCTAAATATGCTCAACCACTGTGTTAAAAATAGTCTCACCTTCCACACCTAGGCCCCATTTCTGGCAGGAATTGGAACTTGAATTGCATTAATGTCTCTCAAACTACCTGTACCTTAACTTTGATTAACTATAGAATTATCCTTATTTGCTGTATGGTTACATGGTTGAGAATCTGAGGATTCCTTAAACTATTCCTATCCCCCAATCCTTGCCCATCTCATGCCCTGACTCATCTTATACAGCCCAGAGCTGTTCCTCTGTACAATGTGCTGTACAGAGAACTGCATGTAGGGTAATTTTGGAGCCACACTGCCTGGGTTCGAATCCTCATTCTTCCATTGGCTAGTCATGGGACCTGGGGCAAATTACTTAGTTTCTGTATTCCCCAGTTTCCCCACCTATAATATATGATTGTAAATTATATTAATGTAACAGTGTGGTAAATATACTAGCCCAGACATTTCTGATATCTTGCTTTTATATGTTTTGTCTGTAAATGTATCATTAAAATTCATGTCTTTTTGGTGTGCAAACAGTCCCCCCTAGTAATCTTTATCTATTAGGAAATTTTTGTGGAGGTAGAAGCAAGCGATTAAATATTGTTTTTTGTCCTTTCTTAAAATCCTTTAACTACAATTTTATTTTATAAAGTTTGACCTCTTCCTTAATGTACGGTACTTTTGAACCAAACTTAGTTTCAATAGCAAAAGTTAGTAATTTCTTATTTTTAATAACATATTTCATAAGGATGACATTTCTTGCTTAATGCATTTTCTAGGTCCACAGAGTTCCAAAATTAGGAGATATCCTTCTTACTTTAATGCTAATGTGTTTATAGAAATTCATAGATAGATGAAATAAAACCAAAAAGTAAAATGTTGAAATAAAATCTAGATGTCATTTCATGTATTTCCATACAGACATAAAGCCAAGTGCTGCTATGACCACAAAAATCTCTTTCTTGTTCTAAATTCTGAACATAAAAACAGCTTCAAAAACTAAAGACAGATGTTAGAAGCAACAGGACTTTAAAATATTTCCTGGAAGAAGTAGTAATATATATTTTTTGCAGCTCACTCTAGAAAAGGCTACATAGATGTGGTCGTGTATTCATAATTGACATATAAATATCAATATCTACTTTTATGGCTTTTGACATGGAGTCATATTTGAGATTTTTGTTTTTCTCCCCTTCTGTCCATGACATATTGTTAATGAACATTGCATTTTCTGTAGATCAGGAGACATAAAGTCCCATCTTTGTGTCTCAGTTTCAGTTTCTGGGAAGGGTAATTGTCCATCTCTCTGACGGGCCCCCAGGAACTGGAGAAGAAAATTTCATGTATCTTGAATATACATTCTATAATTTCAATTAGGCCATAACAGATATGCCTCTGAATTTGGAAGCAGTCTGACTGGCTCTTTTCATGTAGTGTGATGACATATAATTAGACAGGAATCAAACGTTTTTGTTTAAATTAGAATAGATTTAAACAGACACAATGTGTCTGTTCCAATTCTAGTTCAGAGTTCTGGTTACAGAATAACTGAAATGATCAAAGTGTGTGAAATGGGTGTAGAGGTTAAAAAGTTTAGTAATCCTCAACTTCGAAAGATGCAAGATGTGAGTCTATGCTTGTGACTTTTAAAATTGTAAGCCAGTTTACCAAACTCCAAGAAATTAATCTAAGTTTATCTCTTGAAGTTATGAAAGATAGACCAGTAAAACATAAGAATGCACATTATTGATTACATTATGGAACTCACTTCAAAGATGACTTGGGAGAAATACAGCTTAAAATACCCTTAGCAGATAATGCCATGATTTTACAGTACAGTTATTAAGGAACCTAACTAAGCATGGTTTGAGGTACACATTACTATTTGGGAGATAACATCAAAGAGGCCTACTCTATTCCTGTAACTGCTGATGTTGTATTATCAAAGAGAGATTATTGGATTGGAATCATCTGATTTTGTCTTTAAATACATTTCCCGTGTCCCTGTGATCTTAACGAGACCCTGTAACAATCCATAATCCATTTTAGGTTTAATAACAATATGTGAACCAGGTGATATCTGATACACTTTAAAGACTCCTCTGTAGTGCTTTAAGCTGAGATTAGATATGGACTACAGACCTTACATTTATCTCATTGGTTCTTTGTTTCCATATGGTGAAGAAATCCTTTTAGTTCTCTTACAGTAGAGAAAACAAATTAAACTAAAGCTTTCCCTTTTAAATGGCTAATGGTTTTATTTACAGATTACCAAGTGTGTAAATGCCAATTTTACAGTGAAGTAACAGAAAATAATTGTCTAAATTGCTAAATAATAAGACTTACAGGATAAGTAAATCAACACAATGCAAAGGCCTTTGAAGCATACTTATTCTTCTGTTCAAGGTTTATTAAGCTGCAAGAACATTCTAGTTGTTCATTTTATATTTTACAAGCAGAGATTCTTGCAGTTTTTTCAGAGGAAAAAAACCACTTTATCCCTTTACCAGATCCCATCCGTTCATTTAAAATTATTTTTTAAAATAAGGAATATTTAAAATTTTTGTGTTAAATTCTTCCAAAACTATCAAGTTCGTATTCACTCTAATTGTTCTAAGTTAGCCATTATGATTATGGGGAAGGGTTATATCAAACAACTTCATTCTGACTATCAAATGAGAAGTTACTCATAAGAGGAATATTGTGTAAGAACTTAAAGCAATTTGAAGGGATAACTGTGGGTGGTAAGAAAGGAGCTTAGTTTTAATTCTGACATGGCATAAATATGTGGGATTTCTCTAGCTGTGTACATACAGGTGTGTTATTTAAGATCAGCTTGGACAACTTAAATGTCTTAAATAAGCAGATTTGGTCCCAGGGTTGATTAATTCAGTTACCTCAGTGCTGTCATCAGGGGCCCAGCCTCTTCTCATGTTTCTGTTTTACTCTTCTCAAAGATTTTGTTTTATTTTCTCAGTCTTGCCCCTACATGGCCTTAAGCTGGCTACAGCAGCTGTAAGCGTCACACAATAATGTCTGGGCTTGCCAAGGGCAAAAACACTTATTTGGATCATGTTTTAAGAGCAATGAAACCCTCCTGAAAACCGCCCAGAATGTTTTCCTGCACACCTCTTTGACCAGAATTGTTTCATGACCTTTTATAAACCAGTCTGTCTCTGGGAGAAGATACAGATAGAAACACAGACAAGCAGGAGGAGAGCAAGTCACTTTTTTGAACATTGTGTCTCCACTGCCCAACACAACCCCCTGGCATATAGTAGTTTTTCAGTAGCTACTTGTTAAGTTGATAAATACACAGTGTTGATCTGACATCCTCCTGTAACGAGATGCACTTGGAGCTGCGTAAATCAAGTTCAGATGTTGAGGTCTCAAACCACGTCACTTTGTCCATGTTTAATAGAAAATTCTTCTGAAATGTAACGTACTCTTTCTGGCTCTCACTTGTGAGAGTTTAACACCACACTCTCCAACAGATCTTTCTGTGACAGTGGGAATGTTCTGCACTGTCCAGTATGGGAGCCACTGGCCCCATTATTGGGCTTTGAAATATGGCTGGTACAATTGAGGAACTGAATTTTTAATTCTATTTAATTCTGTTAACATTTAAATAGATAACTACTGGCTATTATATTGAACCTCTCAGGTTTAATACCCTGATTATCTGGAGGCTGGTCACCTGGCAACCACATCCTTCTGGAATAACCCTTTCCCCTGAGACACAGATCGACTTCTGGTCAACCTGTTGTACTTTTCAGGCTTAATAATTTTGTTTTTCTGCGCTTGGCTTATTAGTAGCAGTAAACAGGAGGCACTGTGCTGAAGAGAGAGCTGCAGGAATATGTGAGTAGGTAGAGAGATTAGCTATAAAAAGTAGAAAAAGTGATAGTTACAGCTAAGCATTAGGTAGGAAAATAGAAAAAAACTAAGCTGACACTAATAGCAGGTTTATTAATGTAGTGATCATTCGGTTTTGCTTAGGTTTATCTGTAGAGAAGACATAAATACATGGATACAAAATTCAAGTAAATACTTTGAAGATGTCATGGCAAAGAGTACTAATATTTGGTTTGTGGAAGGATATATATACTTCAGTAATTTGGAAAGTGAATCCCATCCTTAGGGAGTACTGAACAATAGAGATGTTTACTTGACATGCATATTCATGTATAAATATTATACATACAAACATTAAAATATTGTATAGTTAGATAAGAAGATCTTTGGTCCAGTTTAATAGCAAAAGAATTTAGCTGTTCTTTAGAGTTTTTCTTACCTAAATCAAAGATTGTCAGTGTTACTTTATTAAAGATAATTTACCTTTCATTTTCTAATCATACAGAAAAGTCATTTGTGTTAGTGAACTAATTACTTTCTCTTTTCCAACTGAGTCTATAACCTACATACGGCTAAGGAAAATTACTCAATTAGCTGCTTGTTTTTTTCCACATAATTGCCAAAAAATCAATTTAAAAAAAACTGTTTACACTTTTTAGCTAATACTTGAATTGTTATACTTTATTTTTAAGAAGCATGTTATTTATAGCTATAACATTGGGTAACTTTTGATTTACCTATTTATAGTATGAAATTAACCATCATATATTACAGTATAGGCTAATAGGTTCCAGCCCATTTTACTGCCACTGGTTTTGAATCCTGGACTGCCACCAGGTGTCACGGTAGCATTTTAATTGAAGCTTAATCTACTTAATTAAATATTCTTGAGTTGGTGAAGTGTAACTGGACTAAATTTATATCATGAAATAAGTATATAGAGAATTTTACTAAGTTAAGGGAAAAGGCTGTGAAAAACCTCTTTTTGTGGACTGAAAAAACATTTGGCTCGTGTAGTTCTTCTTTGCCCAACACTAATCCCCTTGCCTCACACCTTTATCACCTACCACAGTAACTTACAATAAAGTACATATTTGTGATCATGAGGCCTATATTGAAAAAAACTTGCAAGGGCTTCTTTTAAGTCAGTATATCACACACACACACACACACTCTCTCTCTCTCTCTCTCTCTCTCTCTCTCTCTCTCTCTCACTCAAATCTTGAGTTTAAGCTAACTTTGATCATCATAGGAATTTCAAAGTGTATTATTAACGAGTTCAGAGCATCAGTTTCAATGGTTTATAAACAACCTAAGTAAAGGTACAACTCTGCAATTTCTGGCTATACTGTATATGTGTGTGGGTGGATTTTGGAGGCAGCCTCAGGACCTACACACCTGTCTCAGACACCCCATGGCAGCTTTACTAAAAAAGGATTTCTCCAGATTTCTTGGCTAAATTTCTAGGTCAAAAGCTTTGACCAATGCAAAACCTCACTTCCTTTGTGGAATTTTGTCTAACTTGCTAAAATCTAAACATAGTGAAAGCTTTTCCCAAAAGCCTTTATAAGAGGCATTTCTATACAGAAGATTAGTCATAGACCCCATGCAGGCATTTTGCAGATGCCCAGTCCACTTAGGCCAACATATGGTTTACTTTACAAGTTTGTTCCATGACTTCAGAGAAGATAATGAGAAAACAAAATATTAAATAAATGCAATGTCTCCTGTTTGCCAATGAGGCATTGAGAAATGCGCTAATCCATGCAAAGTACATGGAAAAACAGTATACACATGCCAATTGTTATGTTTTGGTAATTCTTAGACAAAGTAACTCTGTTGAGGATGAGAGTGGAGTAAAATGCTTAAGTGAAAAGTGCAGCACATTTGATATTTAAAAGCCAGGAAATATTTTACAAACGTATACTGCATTTAAAATATGGCATGAAAAGAAATTTATATTCATTGCAAGATAAAAGATTTGTATGTCAGTGCTGAGGTTTTAGGTATCTCTGTAAAATTCTGGAGATAGGAGATTACAAGTAGATTTTTTAAAAAATCAGTAATTTTCTTCATCCCACGTAGAAATGTAGATATTCAGTTTAAAGTCAATTCAGGGGGAAAATAATACATTTTGTTCCTGGTTTTGGCTTCCAGGAGCATAAGGTTGCACCAGAATTCATAATTACCACTGTTGTAATTACGTAACTGTTCCTAGGAGATAAAAAGGGGTAATTATCAAACCTGAGTTTTGGTAGTACCATTCACAATTTTATGCCTGAAAAATTCTATTCACCTCCCTAAACAACTATTTAGCCAAGCCACCTGTTCAGAGAAAATTAGATTGGAATTTTTTTTTCTTAAACAGTAAAACTTGTCTAATGGAAACAAAACCAAAAGCTTTGTGAAATTACTAATGTGCTTAATTTGTGCTTTATTTTTCCTATGAGAATGAACAGGTAGATATTTGTAAGATGAAGCTACCCTTGGGCTTAATTGATAACCGTGAAGATTTTATAAATCATGTAAAATGAAATAGGTTAAAATTGCAACATAATCTTTCCCAGAGATACTGTGCTCTTCAGCATAGGCAGACTACAGTTAGGATTTTAACCATTCCAAAGATTTTCCCTTTGCTATTGTTTGTTCATGGATCATAAAACCACACGTGGACTTTTTTGTTCCTACAGGTTTTTGCCTGGCTGTTCTTTCCCATATCTTCTGTGCCAGATATGCCATGTTTGCAGCTAAACTTCTGACTCACATGATGGCAGCCAGCTTAGGTACACAGGTAGGAGAGCTCTGGAATTTCTGACTTTCATAAGATTTTCATGTTTCCTCTTCTATGATCCTTGCACTGAATGTATAAGTAAAGTTGGATCTCAATCTAGTTAAAAGAAGCTTGTTTAATTTGTAGTAGAAAAGGATGGGGTATGAGGGAGGTAAAAGGAGGTGAGAGATGCAGGCCTAAAAAAGTGTATTTTGTGAACTTCTTTCCACAGAGAAGTACCTCAATATCATCACTTATAAGAAAATAGCTTCTGATTATCATGAAGCATATTATTAACTTATATATGCTTAATCTATTACTAATGTGTGTATATACTAAAATTAGCATATTTAAAAAAATTTGTTTGAATAGCATATGCTCTGTTACAGATTATGTGGAGGGCATTAAAATGATAATATATTTAAAAATACCTGGATAATATATTTTGCTTCATTTAATGCTACAGAATACAGTTTGGTAAAATATTCATTTTTGAAAAATTGTTCAAGTGTCTGTGCAGAAGAAATAGTGTGAGAGTCATTGAGTGATTCGTTAGCATGAAGTTCAAAGCATACTGTTTTAAAGCACAGAGGCTGATCAAAAGAGGAAATTAAATGCCTTTTCTGTCCATGAGATACTCACAGTCTAGAATAAGTAAATGTTCATATAAATAACTGTAATTCAGTGTGATGAGTGCAATGATAGACCACTTGCTAGCTACTCTGTGAATATAAGTGAGGATGTTCATCTTCCTGTGAAGGCCGAGGAAGTCTTCCCAGAGGCGCTGATCTTTGAGCTGTGGGACTCAGATGAGAGGTTCATGCAGTTTGATAAGGGGAGAGACGGACATGGCTGTGTGTAAGCAAACGGGGAAAGATGTGATCACGTCTACCTTAGGTGTGTGATTACAGCTTCAGACGGTCATAATACTGCATATAATATTATTGAGAGAATTTTTAATATTGTTTAATAAAATAAAATGTCCCCTTTTCTGGGTGAATGGGAGCATTTCTGGATTGTAGAAAATGCCGCTTCGTGGTTGGGTGCTGGTTGTATATGTATGTGGTCAATTTACCCAGATTCGTGTGCTGTACACATAAAATTTACACTCTTATTTTTTTTTTAATGTTGATGACCTTTTGTTGAACTCCAAACAGAACTTTTAAAAACCAAGACTAGTGGAGGAGCTGAAATGAAAAATGGAAAATTTTTTGGGACATTGTATTTCTGTTGCCTTTTTTCCTCCCAAGAGTGAAAATGACATGTGTAAATTTCATAACTCTGTTTTTCTGGGAACAATTTAGTGTTAGATTCCGAGCAGAGGATTCCAGGTTGTGTTTTTAAATTACCTATGAACTATAAGAGGTAACAGCTGTTACTGAAGGAGAGCTTAACACTGAATTTGACAAGCTATTTATATTGTCTTGGTAACCCATCTTAGTTGTCTGATCTTGCCTTTGCTTCTTGTATGTAAGATCGTAGAAAACCCGCCTTCCATAATTAGAGTTTACTTGGCTGTATTAACCACCCACTCTGGTGACTTTTTGGCAGCAGAATTTGTACAAGTCTTAATTATAGCACTGTAGAATTACAGACAGCTCTTTAGTGTCCTAGCAGACAAATTTGCTCATGTCTAGGGATGTGAAAGAAAGACTGAGGATTTTTATCCTGGGACATTGTCTTCTGATTCACATTGTACTTCAAGTTAATTTAGGAAAAATGGTTAGTCAAATCCATGTTTTTCAGTTTAATTTTAGAACAGATGAAGCAATGTAGCATGAACAATCCTATAACATATGCGACTTGCAACATGAAATAACTAAAAACCTTTTCCATAGTCTATTTTTGGCAGTAGAATTGGAATATTGTTGTTAAAAGTACTGGTTCCTTAAAATGTCTTGCCTGTGTACTTTGATTTCTAAAATACCCTCTGAATTAAAGAGAATAATTACCTCCCTTAAAACATTTTAGCAAAGGCTTTTTAAAATTCTTAGAGTCTCCAAGAAAGGAAAGGACACTGACTGCAGGAACATGGGCCCACCTTTCCAAATTTTAAAGTCATACATCTCCAGTTATAGCAACTTGCCAACAGGGGTACTGCAGTTCCAGCCTCAGCTCTCTCATTTAGAATCCTCCATCAATGTTCTGTTGACATCCCTGAAGGTACAGTTGCCTCTAGAGCTGTCTTAAGAAATTCAGGTTTGGCCTGCGCTTCTTGGGCTTTGAGAGTGAATCTTCTCTAACTGACCTAGAGTGTTTGCGTTGTGAATAAATAAGTTGGCAAGACTATTTGTTTCAAATCTTTATTACTGACCTAGAACTAAGTTGAATGCTTTTGTGAGGAAAGGAACAATGGAGATATGATTAAGTCTCTGACTTCCTTCTAGAGCAGCATAAGTTCAGCCAGGAGTCTGGCTCTCCTTCTCTACTTCTTGAAATAGGTATATAATGTGTGTGTGTGTGTGTGTGTATTATACATAATATATTATTTATTATATATATATGTCTGTAAGTGGAAGAAGATAGACAAGAATCCAAAGATTAATCTTGCCTTAAAAGTCAGAAGGACGATTCTGCTTTAATCTGAAGCTTGCATCACTCCAGCTTGTTTAGGGATCATTGACTATAATTACCAGGAGATGGCAGTAGAAGATTTTGTTTTGCAAAACAGTTTCAGTCCCTAGCAAAGATGGAGTTCAGGAGAAAACTTGAGAGGCGTTTTCACAGCACTTCTTTGACATGGCTGGAGCATATCCTTCTGCAACATAGCAAATGCACGTTTATGGCTTCCTACCATTGTCTTTCTATCCCCTTTGTTCAGAACTGAACTGAATGAATCTAGGGTTCCATAAGAAAGCATGTACATCACTAGCTTGGAATATATCTTTCTATCATTTATCACTTACAGTTAAATTCAGGGGTATAACATTATTCTCGTCTTTATGCTGTGATAAACTTTTAAGAAGTATGTTATTGATAGAAAAATATGTTTATTGAAATGTCCTAGGTAGAAGTTTTGAGATAAGATCTGTATTTTCAGTATTGTTAATTTAAAAAGCATGTATTTTTCTTCAATGCCAAGTTACTGTTTTTCACTTGTCTAAAAGAGAATAATTAAATGGCAAGAAATAGCAAGACAGTTCCAATGCAAGTATGATGTGAAAAAACAGCAAGCAGATTTTCATGGCATTGGGTGATATTTCTGGGAAAAACATCTAATTATGTCTTTGGAATTTTTATCTTAGAATCACATTGCCAACCCATGTGTACCCTGATAAGGCTGGTAAACAACTAGGACAAAGGACAAGTTTGCAGTTCAGTGTTCTCAGTTCTGGGGGTTCTGTCAAGAGAAGCAGTCCTCCAAATCTAGAGAAAGAACAGAAGTCTCCTCATAGAAAACACGATGATAAGATAGAACAGCATTTACTCTGGTTAATAAACTTAACAGAGGGGAAATTTTTTTTCTCTCTGATTTTTCTTTGTATGGCTAAAGCACATTTTCTGAAACTGAAGGGTAAATTTGTGTAGAAAAAAATTGTGTGTAGAAATTAAATATATCAGCCAGTCTATACATTTTCTGAATCCAGATGTGACTGAATATCTGAGAAGTTGAAATACTTAAATTTAATTTTTTGGTTGCCACTGGATGTGTGGGAGATTTAGCTATATCGGCCTTCTCCATAGAACAGAACAACAGACTTGCCTTAAAATTCAGAGGACTGTTCTCTGTAATTTAGCAAAAGTTGGGCTGTCAGTATCCTGTCCAGTTTCCTCATTCTGCAACATGTTGGGATGTCATTTTACTACATAATTTTGTTTTGCAAGCAGGATGCTGCTCAAATATTTCTGCCAATAAATTCTGCTTTAACCTGAAGTTTATGTCATTTTAACTTTGAATATCTATTACCCTTGAGACTCTTTAAAGTCATTGACTGCATATGAATTAAGCCAAAATCGTGTGTAACCTCTCAAATACAGGCTCCATCTGGCTACTACAGGGCCTGGTGTTTCTCCTTGCAACCTGTACTGTTTCATGGAGGCTACCAGCCCAAGAAAGGGCCATGTGTGTCAAGTCACAAAACATGTATCTATCTAACAAGCATATTTTTATCCATTGAAGCAGAATGAGATAGAAATTTTAAATTTTAACGAAATTGTAAAATAAATCCATTCATGAGAACAGATTCTTCTTTGGTTGGAAGTTTTAGTTAACCACTTGTTAACCTGAGTATCCCTTATTATTTCTACTTGTGTTAAAAAAAAAAGTACTTGAGTTAATGTACAAGGATCAAAATTGGGTCTTCCTTTGAGGACTGGGAACTTGAGAAGCACAAAGAGTCACTATTTAGTAGAACATTTATGATTATGTATTAGTGCAGATGCAAATGCGTTAGGAACATGCTTCCTAAACTGTGATGTAGGCATCGTGTTGAAGAGCACATGCTGAGTGGGTAAGTTTGCGGTGGGTTCCTGCAGCCGCCTGTGAGGGGGGCAAGGTCGGCTGCGTGTGACCCAGGTGCGGCTCTGGTCTTGCTGCCACCCTGCTTCTGCTCAGCTGGAGTCTGCAACCTAGTCAACCAGTTTCTTGCTGTAAGAAAGTATTTGTTTAAGAAATTACACTATCTAAATTTTTTACTTTTATTTAAAGTGCCATTGCCTTTGAAACTACTAACAAATATTTATCTTTCTTCCTTGAAGGAAAGACTCGTGCCACTGCTTCCTTTTCTCTCTCGTTTTTTCCCCCCTCATCTGGGTGACTAAGGAAAGGAAAGGTCCTTAGACAGGCAAACTCAGAGTATATGCTAGGCTTTTATTTTGGTCTTTTTCATAACATTTCACACTTGGCAGAACCTATTAGTGTTGTTTTTGGACATATAAACCAGTGGGAAAAAAGTGGAAGCAGCCCCCAACCAGATACTTCTTTTTCCCTTGAAGAGTATGTGAATGCCTCCATTTGAATGGTTTTAAGTTTGTAAGGCTTTTATTTTTATATTTTATACAAAAAAAAAATCTGAAGTCTG